TGGACATCCCTGAGCCTGAAACACCCCAAATTCCTGCACCTGGGGGGTCAGGGGGACATCCCTGAGCCTGAAACACCCCAAATTCCTGCACCTGGGGGGTCAGGAGGGGTGGGGACACAAGGGGGGACATCCCTGAGCCTTAAACACCCCAAATTCCTGCACCTATGGGGGCACAAGGGGTCAGGGGTGTGGGCACAGGGGGACATCCCTGAGCCTTAAACACCCCAAATTCCCTGCACCTGGGGGGGCACAGGGGGGTCACGGGGGTGTGGGGACACAGGGGGGACATCCCTGAGCTTTAAACACCCCAAATTCCTGCACCTGGGGGGGTGCAGGGGGTCTGGGGCACAGGGGGACATCCCTGAGCCTTAAACACCCCAAATTCCTGCACCTATGGGGCACAGGGGTCAGCAGGGTGTGGGGACACAGGGGGGACATCCCTGAGCTTTAAACCCCAAATTCCTGCACCTATGGGGGCACAAGGGGTCAGGGGGTGTGGGGACACAGGGGGGACATCCCTGAGCCTGAAAACCCCAAATTCCTGCACCTGGGGGGGTCACGGAGGGGTCAGGAGCATTTGGGGACATCCCTGAGCCTTAAACACCCCAAATTCCTGCACCTGGGGGGTCAGGAGGGTGTGGGGGCACAGGGGGACATCCCTGAGCCTGAAAACCCCAAATTCCTGCACCTGGGGTCAGGGGGGTGTGGGGGCACAGGGGGACATCCCTGAGCCTTAAACAACCCAAATTCCTGCACTGGGGGGGCAGGGGGGTCAGGGGGGTGTGGGGACATCCCTGAGCCTCAAACACCCCAAATTCCTGCACCTGGGGGGGTGCAGGGGGTGTGGGGACACAGGGGGGACATCCCTGAGCCTTAAACACCCAAATTCCTGCACCTATGGGGGCACAAGGGGGTCAGGAGGGTGTGGGGCACAGGGGGGACATCCCTGAGCCTGAAAACCCCAAATTCCTGCACCTGGGGTCAGGGGGGACATCCCTGAGCCTTAAACACCCCAAATTCCTGCACCTGGGGGGGTGCAGGGGGTCAGGGGGGTGTGGGGGACATCCCTGAGCCTTAAACACCCCAAATTCCTGCACCTATGGGGGCACGGGGGGTCAGGAGGGGTGTAGGGAAACAGGGGGGACATCCCTGAGCCTTAAACACCCCAAATTCCTGCACCTGGGGGGTCAGGAGGGGTGTGGGGCACAGGGGGGACATCCCTGAGCCTTAAACACCCCAAATTCCTGCACCTGGGGGGGCATGGGGGGGTCAGGAGGGTGTGGGGGCACAGGGGGACATCCTGAATCTTGCACCCCTGTGGTCCTGGAGATGTCTTGGTGCTCTTGGGGTCCCAGGGGTCCTGCTGCTGGTTTTGGGGGTTCCCAGTGCCCTCAGGAGTTCCTGGGGGGGGGTCCTGGTGCTGGTTTTGGGGTCTTGGGAGGGTCCAAGTGCTGATTTGAGGGTCCTATGGGGGTCCTGGTGCTGGTTTGGGGGGTCCTGATGCTGGTTTTGGGGGTCCCGGTGCTGGTTTTGGGGGTCCTGGTGCTCTCAGGGGCTCTTGGTGCTGGTTGTGGGTCCCAGGGGGCTCCTGGTGCTGGTTTTGGGGGTCTTGGGAGGGTCCCAGTGCTGATTTGAGGGTCCTATGGGGCTCCTGGTGCTGGTTTTGGGGTCCCGGTGCTGGTTTTGGGGGTCCCGGTGCTGGTTTGGGGGGTCCCAGGGCTGGTTTTGGGGGGTCCAGTGCCCTCAGGAGTTCCTGGGGGCGGTCCTGGTGCTGGTTTGGGGTCTTGGGAGGGTCCCAGTGCTGATTTTGAGGGTCCTATGGGGGTCCCGGGGGTGCTGATTTTGGGGTCCCAGTGCTGGTTTTGGGGGGTCCTGGTGCTCTCAGGGGGCTCTTGGTGCTGGTTGTGGGGTCCCAGGGGGCTCCTGGTGCTGGTTTTGGGGTCCTGTGCTCTCAGGGGCTTTTGGTGCTGGTTTTGGGGGTCTTGGAGGGTCCTAGTGCTGATTTTGAGGGTCCTATAGGGGTCCTGGTGCTGGTTTTGGGGTCCTGGTGCTGGTTGTGGGGTCCCAGGGGGCTCCTGGTGCTGGTTTTTGGGGGTCCTGGTGCTCTCAGGGGGCTCCTGGTGCTGGTTTTGGGGTCCCAGGGGGTCCCGGTGCTGGTTTTGGGGGTCCTGGTGCTCTCAGGGGGCTCCTGGTGCTGGTTGTGGGGTCCCAGGGGCTCCTGGTGCTGGTTGGGGGGTCCTGGTGCTCTCAGGGGTTCCTGGTGCTGGTTGTGGGGTCCCAGGGGGCTCCTGGTGCTCTCAGGGGCTCCTGGTGCTGGTTTTGGGGTCCCAGGGGGCTCCTGGTGCTGGTTTTGGGGGTCCCCACCTCGGTGCTGAAGGTCAGGTCGTAGCCCAGCGTGGAGACGTCGTTCTCCAGCAGGTACACGAGGCCCTGGTAGAAGTGATAGTCCTCGCTCTCCATGTCCGTGTACCTGGGGGGCCAAAAACGGGGGGCAGCGCCCCAAAAATGGGGTCAGAAACCATGGGGCACCCCAAAACAGGGTCAGACCCTGCCAGGAACCCCAAAAATGGGGTCAGAAACCACGGGGAGCCCCAAACCGGGGTCAGACCCCGCTAGGAACCCAAAACGGGGTCAGAAACCACGGGGAGCCCCAAAACAGGTCAGACCCTGCCGGAGCCCCAAAAATGGGGTCAGAAACCACGGGGCACCCCAAAACAGGGTCAGACCCTGCCAGGAACCCCAAAAATGGGTCAGAAACCACAGGGAGCCCCAAACCGGGGTCAGACCCTGCCAGGAACCCCAAAAATGGGGTCAGAAACCACGGGGAGCCCAAAACGGGGTCAGACCTGCTTAGGAACCCCAAAAATGGGGTCAGAAACCACGGGGAGCCCAAAACGGGTCAGACCCTGCTAGGAACCCCAAAAATGGGGTCAGAAACCACGGGGAGCCCAAAACGGGGTCAGACCCTGCTAGGAACCCCAAAAATGGGGTCAGAAACCACGGGGAGCCCCAAAATGGGTCATACCCTGCCAGGAACCCCAAAAATGGGGTCAGAAACCATGGGGAGCCCCAAACCGGGGTCAGACCCTGCCAGGAACCCCAAAAATGGGGTCAGAAACCACGGGGAGCCCCAAACCGGGGTCAGACCCTGCCGGGAGCCCCAGAAATGGGGTCAGACTCTGCTGAGAGAGCACAAAAATGGGGTCAGAAACCATGGGGCACCCCAAAACAGGGTCAGACCCTGCCAGGAACCCCAAAAATGGGGTCAGAAACCATGGGGAGCCCCAAAACAGGGTCAGACCCTGCCAGGAACCCCAAAAATGGGGTCAGAAACCATGGGGAACCCCAAAACAGGGTCAGACTCTGCTGGAGAGCACAAAAACGGGGTCAGAAACCATGGGGCACCCCAAAACACAGGGTCAGACCCTGCCAGGGCTCCAGAACCCCATAAATTCAGTCTCACACCCCTCTGAGGGGCCCAGCACCCCACAAACAGCTCCTGGCCCCATAAATACACTCCCACACCCCACAAACGCACTCCCAGCCCACAAAACACCCTCCCACACCCCATAAATGCAATCCTACCCCAAGGAACTCCAGCACCCTACAAATACACTCCCACACCCACAAACAGAGTCCCACACCCCTGGAGGAGCTCCCACACCCCACAAACAGCTCCCACACCCACAAACACACTCCCACACCCCATAAATGCAATCCTACCTGCCTGAGGGGCTCCAGCCCCATGAACAGCTTCTACCCCCACAAACACACTCCCAACACCCCAACACTCCCACACCCCACAAACAGAGTCCCACACCCCTGGAGGGGCTCCCACACCCCACAAACACACTCCAACACCCCATAAATGCAATCCTACCCTTTGAGGAACTCCAGCACCCCATAAACACACTCCCACCCCCACAAACACACTCCCACACCCCACAAACAGAGTCCCACACCCCTGGAGGGGCTCCCATACCCACAAACAGCTCCCACACCCCACAAACACCCCACACCCCACAAACAGCTCCCACACCCCACAAACAGAGTCCCACCCCTGGAGGGGCTCCCACACCCCACAAACAGCTCCCACGCCCCACAAACAGCTCCCAACCCCACAAACAGAGTCCCACACCCCTGGAGGGGCTCCCACACCCCACAAACAGCTCCCACACCCCACAAACAGAGTCCCACACCCACAAACAGCTCCCACACCCCACAAACAACTCCCACACCCACAAACAGAGTCCCACACCCCACAAACACCCCACACCCCACAACAGAGTCCCACACCCCACAAACACACTCCCAACACCCCACACACTCCCACACCCCACAAACAGCTCCCACACCCCACAAACACACTCCCACACCCCACAAACACCCCACACCCACAAACACCCCACACCCACCCTCCCCGAGCCTCCCACCCCCTGGGCCGCCCTGGCTCGCCCCTTACCGCACGGACTTGCCCAGGATGTGTTTGTAGAAGGAGCGGGTGAAGTAACACTCCAGCAGCCGGTTGTCGTAGACGGCCTTGGCCACGATCCTGCCACGAACTTGAAGTAGCTCAGGTGGTTGGGTTGCAGTGGGACGAGGGGTTGATGGTGTAGGTGACGCGGTCGCCGGGCGACGTGCGGAACAGGGCGTACATGGGGTTGAACATCTCGCGGGAGATGATCATGTACCACTCCCGCAGCAGCCCCCCGGCGTCCTGGCCCTCCTCGCCCTCGAACACGATGTACCTGCGGGGCCACGGGGGTCAGGCGGGTGGGAGAGGGGGTTTGGGGAGGGTGGAGGTGGTTTTGGGGGGAATTGCGGCGTTTGGAGGTGTTTAGGGGAGATTTGGGGGCGACTGGGGGTTTGGAGGTGTTTAGGGGAGATTTGGGGGAATTGGGGCGTTTGGAGTGTTTAGGGGGAGATTTGGGGGGAACTGGGGTTTGGATGTGGTTTTGGGGGAACTGGGGCGTTTAGAGGTGTTTAGGGGGAGATTTGGGGGGGAAATCGGGGTCTGGAAGTGTTTTTGGGGAGATTTGGGGGGAATTGGGGGGGTTGGGGCATTTTGGGGGGCGAATGGGGGGTTGGAGGTGGTTTTGGGGGAATTGGGGGTTGGAGGCATTTTTGGGGAGATTTAGGGGGCGACGGGGATTTGGAGGTGGTTTTGGTGGAAATTGGGGTGTTTGGAGGCCTTTTGGAGGAGATTTGGGGGGTGACTGGGGGATTTACAGGTGGTTTTGGGGGGAACTGAGGGGGTTGGAGCATTTTGGGGAGATTTGGGGGGCAAATGGGGGCTTTGGATGTGGTTTTGGGGGGACTGAGGGGTTTGGAGGCGTTTTGGGGGAGATTTGGGGGCGACTGGAGGGTTTGGAGGTGGTTTTGGTGGGAACTGGTTTTGGAGGTGTTTAGGGGGAGATTTGGGGGGGAACTCGGGGTTTGGAAGCGTTTTTGGGGAGATTTGGGGAGGAACTTGGGGGTTTGGAGGCATTTTTGGGGAGATTTAGGGGGCGATGGGATTTGGAGGTGGTTTTGGGGGGAATTGGGGCGTTTGGAGGTGTTTTGGAGGAGATTTGGGGGGAACTGGGGGATTTGGAGATGGTTTTGGTGGGAATTGGGGCGTTTGGAGACCTTTTGGAGGAGATTTGGGGGGCGAACGGGGGGTTTGGATGTGGTTTAGGGGGAACTGAGGGGTTTGGAGCGTTTTGGGGAGATTTGGGGGGCGAAAGGATTTGGAGGTGGTTTTGGTGGGAACTGGGGCGTTTGGAGGTGTTTAGGGGGAGATTTGGGAGGAACTCGGGGTTTGTAAGCATTTTTGGGGAGATTTGGGGTGCGACTGGGGGGTTTGGAGGTGGTTTTGGTGGGAATTGGGGCGTTTGGAGGTGTTAGGGGGAGATTTGGGGGGGAACTGGGGGTTTGGTGGTGGTTTTGGGGAGATTTGGGGGTGACTGGGGGATTTACAGGTGGTTTTGGGGGAATTGGGGGGTTGGGGGCATTTTGGGGAGATTTAGGGGGCGACAGGGATTTGGAGGTGGTTTTGGTGGGAATTGGGGCGTTTGGAGGCCTTTTGGAGGAGATTTGGGGGGCCACTGGGGGGGTTTGGAGGTGGTTTTGGTGCGAATTGGGGCGTTTGGAGGTGTTTAGGGGGAGATTTGGGGGGCAACTGGGGGGGTTTGGAGGTGGTTTTGGTGGGAATTGGGGCGTTTGGAGGCCTTTTGGAGGAGATTTGGGGTGCAACTGAGGGGTTTGGATGTGTTTGGGGGAACTGGGAGGTTTGGAGGCGTTTTGGGGAGATTTGGGGGCGACAGGGATTTGGAGGTGGTTTTGGTGGGAACTGGGGCGTTTGGAGGTGGTTAGGGGGAGATTTGGGGGGAACTTGGGGTTTGGAAGCGTTTTGGGGAGATTTGGGGAGGAACTTGGGGTTTGGTGGTGGTTTTGGGGAGATTTGGGGGGGAACTCGGGGTTTGGAGGCATTTTTGGGGAGATTTGGGGAGGAACTTGGGGGTTTGGAGGCATTTTTGGGGAGATTTAGGGGGCGACAGGGATTTGGAGGTGGTTTTGGTGGGAATTGGGGCGTTTGGAGGCCTTTTGGAGGAGATTTGGGTGCAACTGAGGGGGTTTGGAGGTGGTTTTGGGGGAATTGGGGCGTTTGGAGGCCTTTTGGAGGAGATTTGGGGGGCAACTGGGGGGTTTGGAGTGGTTTTGGGGGAATTGGGGCGTTTGGAGGCATGGGAGGATGGTGGAGGGCATTTTGAGTGGGTCAGGGGGTGCTTGTGGGGCTGGAGAGGCGCTCTGGGTGTCCTGAGGGTGTTTCAGTATCCCAAGGGGTGTTTTGGCTATCCCAGATTTTGGTGTCCAGGGATATTCTGGGGTGCCCAGGGGATATTTTGAGGCTCCCAGAGGACATTTTAAGGTGCCCAGGGGATATTTTGAGGCTCCCAGAGGACATTTTAAGGTGCCCAGGGGATATTTTGAGGCTCCCAGAGGACATTTTAAGGTGCCCAGGGGATATTCTGGGGTGCCAGGGATATTTTGAGTTCCCAGAGGACATTTTAAGGTGCCCAGGGGATATTTTGGGGTTCCAGAGGATATTTTAAGGTGCCCAGGGATATTTTGAGCCTCACAGAGGACATTTTAAGGTGCCCAGGGGATATTCTGGGGTGCCCAGGGGATATTTGAGGCTCCCAGAGGACATTTTAAGGTGCCCAGGGGATATTTTGGGGTTCCCAGGAGCTATTTTCAGGCTGTCCCGAGGCTCTCACAGGCGGTTCTTCATCTCCTCGGGGATTTGCGGTGCAGCTCCCGGTACGAGTCCTCGAAGACGTGGTCGCGCCGGACGTGCACGGCCATGTCCTCCTTGCGCAGCCCCTCGTCCAGGCGCTCCAGCTCCTGCCTGAAATACCTGGCCAGGACAAAAAGGGGTGTCAGGGCTGTGGGACCCCCGGGACCCCCTCCTAGACCCCTCCCCAAAAGCCACGAACTTGCGCTTGACGTCGAAGTCCAGCACGCGGATGTAATCCACCAGCACGGCGAAGGGGCCGTCGGCCAAGTGCGTGTGGACTGCCGCAGGATCTGGTTCAGCACCGTCCTGTGGGTCTCTGGGGGGAGGGAAAAGGGGTTTGGGGGTGTCCCCAAGTAGGGGAACCCCCCTCGTGGAATGTTTAACGGTTGTGGTCCCAAAATTCGCTGTTGGCGGTTCCGTTCTTGGCTCGCACCGATCTCAAAATGTTGAGGGGTTAAAAATTCTCCGAATTCGCTCTCCCTGAATTCACCCTTGCCAAAGACTTAAGGAGCTCAAAAATCCCCCAAATTTTCCCTTCCCAAAGCTTTGGGGTTCCCACAAATTCCCCTTTTCCAAAGCCTTGGGGTTCCCCCAAATTCATCCTCTCAAAGCCCTGGGGTTCACCCAAACCACTTCCCTGTGTCCCCAAACTCCCTCCCCACACTCCCAATCCCCTTCCCCACACCCTCAGCTCCCCCAAAGCCCCCAAACACCCTCCAAGCTGCCACCACCCCCCCAAAACCCTTCCTAACCCCTTCCCCACTTTCCCAATCCCCAAACCCCTCTGGTGCCCCCCCAAAGCCCCCAAACACCCTCCAAGCTGCCTTCAGCCCCCCCAAAACCCTTCTCCAAACTTCCCAACTCCCTAAGCTCCCCCAAAGCCCTAAACACCCTCCAAACTGCCTTCAGCCCCTCCAAAACCCTTCTCAAAACTTCAAACTCCTTCCCAACCCCCAAAGTTCCCCCAAAGCCCCTAAACACCCTCCAAACTGCCTTCAGCCCCCCAAAACCCTTCCCCAAACTTCCCAACCCCTCAGCTGCCACAAAACACCCTCCAAGCTGCCTTCAGCCCCCCAAAACACTTCTCCAAACTCCTCAACACCCTCAGCTCCCCAAAACACCTCCAAGCTGCCTTCAGCCCCCCCAAAACCCTTCCCAACCCTTCCTGAACCCCCTCAGCTCCCACAAAACACCCTCCAAGCTGCCTTCAGCCCCCCCAAAACCCTTCTCAAAACTCCAAACTCCTTCCCAACCCCCTAAGCTCCCCCAAAGCCCCTGAACACCCTCCAAGCTGCCTTCAGCCCCCCCAAAACCCTTCTCCAGACTTCCCAACCCCCTCAGCTCCCACAAAACACCCTCCAAGCTGCCTTCAGCCCCCCAAAACCCTTCTCCAGACTTCCCAACCCCCTCAGCTCCCACAAAACACCCTCCAAGCTGCCTTCAGCCCCCCAAAACCCTTCTCCAAACTTCCCAACCCCTCAGCTCCCACAAAACCCCCTCCAAGCTGCCTTCAGCCCCCCAAAAACACTTCCCAACCCCCTCAGCTCCCACAAAACCCCCTCCAAGCTGCCTTCAGCCCCCCCAAAACACTTCCCAACCCCCTCAGCTCCCACAAAACACCCTCCAAGCTGCCTTCAGCACCCCCAAAACCCTTCCCAACCCTTCCCAACCCCCTCAGCTCCCACAAAACACCCTCCAAGCTGCCTTCAGCCCCCTCAAAACCCTTCTCCAAACTTCCCGACCCCCTCAGCTCCCACAAAAACACCCTCCAAGCTGCCTTCAGCCCCCCCAAAACCCTTCTCCAAACTTCCCAACCCCCTCAGCTCCCACAAAACTCCCTCCAAGCTGCCTTCAGCCCCCCCAAAACCCTTCCCAACCCCCTCAGCTCCCACAAAACACCCTCCAAGCTGCCTTCAGCCCCCCCAAAACCGCCTCCACAACATCCCAATCCCATTCCCCACATCCTAAGCTCCCCCAAAGCTCCCCCAAAGCCCCTAAACACCCTCCAAACTGCCTTCAGCCCCCCCAAAACCCTTCCCAACCCTTCCTGAACCCCCTCAGCTCCCACAAAACACCCTCCAAGCTGTTTTCAGCCCCCCCAAAACCCTTCTCCAAACTCCAAACTCCTTCCCAACCCCCTCAGCTCCCACAAAACACCCTCCAAGCTGCCTTCAGCCCCCCCAAAACACTTCCCAACCCCCTCAGCTCCCACAAAACACCCTCCAAGCTGCCTTCAGCCCCCCAAAACCGCCTCCACGACATCCCAATCCCATTCCTGACATCCTAAGCTCCCCCAAAGCTCCCCCAAAGCCCCTAAACACCCTCCAAGCTGCCTTCAGCCCCCCAAAACACTTCCCAACCCCTCAGCTCCCACAAAACACCCTCCAAGCTGCCTTCAGCCCCCCCAAAACCCTTCTCCAAACTTCCCAACCCCCTCAGCTCCCACAAAACACCCTCCAAGCTGCCTTCAGCCCCCCCAAAACCCTTCTCCAAACTCCAAACTCCTTCCCAACCCCCTAAGCTCCCCCAAAGCCCCTAAACACCCTCCAAGCTGCCTTCAGCCCCCCCAAAACCCTTCTCCCAACTTCCCAACCCCCTCAGCTCCCACAAAACACCCTCCAAGCTGCCTTCAGCCCCCCAAAACCGCCTCCACAACAAACTCCCTCCCCACACTCCCAATCCCCTTCCCCACACCCTAAACTCCCTCAAAGCCCCTAAACACCCTCCAAGCTGCCTTCAGCCCCTCCAAAACCCTTCCCAACCCCCTCAGCTCCCACAAAACACCCTCCAAACTGCCTTCAGCCCCCCCAAAACCCTTCCCAACCCTTCCTGAACCCCCTCAGCCCCCCAAAACACTTCCCAACCCCTAAGCTCCACAAAACACCCTCCAAGCTGCCTTCAGCCCCCCAAAACCCTTCCCAACCCTTCCTGAACCCCTCCCCACGCTCCCAAATCCCCTCCCCGCGTTCCTGGTGCCGCGGCTCACCGGCGAAGCGCAGGAATTTCTGCGTGTCCGGGGGCAGGCTGGCCGAGATGTGCATGGCCGAGGGCTCCCGGGAGAAGAAGGGGTCCAGGGCGGAGGGGGTGGCGGGGGTGAGGGGCGCGGGGACAGTGGCGGTGGCTCGTCCTTGATGTGGGCCAGCTGGCTCTCCGCGTGTCCCGCACCGGCGGGCGGCTCTCGCGCTCCGTGGCGTGCACCAGGAAAAACGCCTCGACGGCCGGCTGCAGCACTGTGGGGCAGGGGTCAGAGTGGTGTGGGGCGGGACAGTGTGGGGACAGCACTGCGGGACAGGGTCAGAGGTGGTGTGGGGCAGGGACAGCATGGGGACAGCGTGGGGACAGCACGGGGACAGCACTGCGGGACAGGGGTCAGAGGTGGTGTGGGGCGGGGACAGCGTGGGACAGCGTGGGGACAGCACGGGGACAGCATGGGGACAGGGTGGGGACAGCACGGGGACAGGGTGGTGTGGGGCAGGGGGACAGCACGGGGATGGGGTGGGGACAGGGGGTGTGGGGCAGGGGGACAGCATGGGGACAGGGTGGTGTGGGGCAGGGGACAGCACAGGGACAGGGTGGGACAGTGGGGTGGGAATGGGCCAGGGGGACAGTGTGGGTCAGTGGGGTGGCGTGGCACAGGGACAGGGTGGGGTCAGTGGGAACCGGACAGGGACAGCATGGGGACAGCGGGCAGTGTGGGGCAGGGGACAGCACGGGGACAGGGTGGGGTCAGTGAGGTGGGAATGGGCCAAGGGGACATTGTGGGGTCAGGGGGCAGCGTGGCACGGGGACAGGGTGGGGTCAGTGGGCAGGGGGACAGCACAAGGACAGCACGGGGACAGGGTGGTGTGGGGCAGGGGACAGCATGGGGACAGGGTGGTGTGGGGCAGGGGACAGCATGGGGACAGCACGGGGATGGGGTGGTGTGGGGCGGGGACAGCGTGGGGACAGGGTGGGGACAGCATGGGGATGGGGTGGGGACGGGGTGGTGTGGGGCAGGGGGACAGCACGGGGACAGGGTGGGGACGGGGTGGTGTGGGGCACGGGACAGCACGGGGACAGGGTGGGCGGGGACAGTGTGGGACAGCACAGGACAGGGTTGTGGGGCAGGGGGACAGCACAGGGACAGCACAGGTGGTGTGGGGCAGGGGGACAGCACGGGGATGAGGTGGGGTCAGGGCAGGGGGACAGCACAGGGACAGAGTGGTGTGGGGCAGGGGGACAGCATGGGGATGGGGTGGTGTGGGGCAGGGAAACAGCACAGGGACAGGGTGGGGACAGGGTGGTGTGGGGCAGGGACAGCACGGGGACAGGGTGGTGTGGGCAGGGGGACAGCACGGGGACAGGGTGGTGTGGGCAGGGGGATAGGTGGGACAGGGTGGTGTGGGCAGGGGGACAGCACGGGGACAGCACAGGGACAGGGTGTGGGGCAGGGGACAGCACGGGGACAGCACAGGGACAGGGTGGGGTCAGTGGGGCAGGGGGACAGCACGGGGACAGGGTGGTGTCAGTGGGGCAGGGGGACAGCACGGGGACGGGGTGGGGTCAGTGGGGCAGGGGACAGCATGGGGACAGCACAGGGACGGGGTTGGTGTGGGGCAGGGGACAGCACGGGACAGGGTGGGGAGAGGGTGGTGTGGGGCAGGGGGACAGCATGGAGAAAGGGTGGTGTGGGGCAGGGGGACAGGGTGGGGTCAGTGGGGCACGGGGACAGCATGGGGACAGCACGGGGACAGGGTGGTGTGGGGCAGGGGGACAGGGTGGGGACAGCACAGGGACGGGTGGTGTGGGGCAGGGGGACAGCACAGGGATGGGGTGGTGTGGGGCAGGGGGACAGCACAGGGATGGGGTGGTGGGGCAGGGGGACAGCATGGGGACAGGGTGGTGTGGGGCACGGGACAGCATGGGGACAGGGTGGTGTGGGCGGGGACAGTGTGGGGACAGCGTGGGGACAGCGTGGGGACAGCATGGGGACAGGTGGTGTGGGGCAGGGGGACAGGGTGGGGACAGCGGCAGTGTGGGGCAGGGGACAGTGTGGGGTCAGTGGGCAGGGGGACAGCACAGGGACAGGGTGGGGTCAGTGGGGCAGGGGACAGCATGGGGACAGCATGGGACAGGGTGGTGTGGGGCGGGGACAGCACAGGGACAGGGTGGTGTGGGCAGGGGGACAGCACAGGGACAGGGTGGGGACAGGTGGTGTGGGGCAGGGGGACAGCGGGACAGGGTGGGGTCCCCGGGACGGGGAGGGGACACACTGGAATAGGGGAGGGGACACCCCAGGATTGGGGAACAGCCAGGGATGGGGGGAACGCTATGGGGCGGAGGTGGGAACGCTATGGGGCGGAGGTGGGAACACCCCTCGATGGGGGGAGAACAGCCTGGAACAGAGGCTCCAGCCCCCTCCCACGAGGATTTAGGGTCACCCAGGAGTTTTGGGGCTCCCCTATAGATTCCAGTGGGATTTAGGGTCACCCAGGAGTTTTGGGGCCCCTCTATAGATTCCAACCCCCTCCCATGAGGATTTTAGGGTCACCCCAGGAGTTTTGGGGCCCCCTATAGATTCCAACCCCCTCCCATGAGGATTTAAGGTCACCCCAGGAGTTTTGGGGCCCCCTATAGATTCCAGTGGGATTTAGGGTCACCCCATGGCTTTGGGGTCCCTCTATAGATTCCAACCCCTCCCATGAGGATTTAGGGTCACCCCAGGAGTTTTGGGGCCCCTCTATAGATCCAGGGATTTAGGGTCACCCCAGGAGTTTTGGGGCCCCTCTCTAGACTCCAACCCACCGCCCCGGGATTTAGGGTCAGCTCTGTGTTTTTGGGGTCCCTCTATGGATTCCAACCCACCGCCCCGGGATTCAGGGTCAGCTCTGTGTTTTTGGGGTCCTCCCCGGATTTAGGGTCAGCTCTGTGGTTTTGGGGTCCCTCTATAGATTCCAACCCACCGCCCCGGGATTCAGGGTCAGCTCTGTGTTTTTGGGTCCCTCCCCGGGATTTAGGGTCAGCTGTGTGTTTTTGGGGTCCCTGCCCGGGATTTAGGGTCAGCTCTGTGTTTTTGGGGTCCCTCCCGGATTTAGGGTCAGCTCTGTGTTTTTGGGGTCCCCCCCGGGATTCAGGGTCAGCTCTGGGTTTTGGGGTCCCTCTATAGATTCCAACCCACCTCCCCGGGATTCAGGGTCAGCTCTGTGGTTTTGGGGTCCCACCCTGGGATTCAGGGTCAGCTCTGTGTTTTTGGGGTCCCTCCCCGGGATTCAGGGTCAGCTCCGTGTTTTTGGGTCCCTCCCGGATTTAGGGTCAGCTCTGGGTTTTTGGGGTCCCTCTATAGACTCCAGCCACCGCCCCGGGATTTAGGGTCAGCTGTGTGTTTTTGGGGTCCCTCCCCGGGATTCAGGGTCAGCTCTGTGTTTTTGGGGTCCCTCTATAGACTCCAACCCACCGCCCGGGATTTAGGGTCAGCTCTGGTTTTTGGGTCCCTCCCCGGGATTCAGGGTCAGCTCTGGGTTTTTGGGGTCCCTGCCCGGGATTCAGGGTCAGCTCCGTGTTTTTGGGGTCCCTCCCGGGATTTAGGGTCAGCTCTGTGTTTTTGGGGTCCCTCCCCGGATTTAGGTCAGCTCTGTGTTTTTGGGGTCCCTCCCCGGGATTCAGGGTCAGCTCTGTGTTTTTGGGTCCCTCCCCGGATTCAGGGTCAGCTCTGTGGTTTTGGGGTCCCTGCCCGGGATTCGGGTCAGCTGTGTGTTTTTGGGTCCCTCTCGGGATTCAGAGTCAGCTCTGTGTTTTTGGGGTCCCTGCCCGGGATTTAGGGTCAGCTCTGGGTTTGGGGTCCCTCCCCGGATTCAGGGTCAGCTCTGTGTTTTTGGGGTCCCTCCCCGGATTAGGGTCAGCTGTGTGTGTTTTGGGGTCCCTCCCCGGGATTCAGGGTCAGCTCTGTGTTTTTGGGGTCCCTTCCGGGATCAGGGTCAGCTCTGTGTTTTTGGGGTCCCTCCCCAGGATTTAGGGTCAGCTCTGAGTTTTTTGGGGTCCCTCCCGGGATTCAGGGTCAGCTCTGTGGTTTTGGGGTCCCTCCCCGGGATTTAGGGTCAGCTCTGGGTTTTTGGGGTCCCGCCCCGGGATTCAGGGTCAGCTCTGTGTTTTTGGGTCCCTCCCCGGGATTTAGGGTCAGCTCTGGGTTTTTGGGGTCCCTCTCGGGTTTGGGTGACGCACCGAGCACGGCGTGCTGGTCGTGGGACTCCTCGAGCTCCTTGAGGCACTCTCCCAGCATGTCCCACAGCTCGTCCAGGCTCAGCTGCTCGCTCAGCAGGGGCAGCTCCGGGGGCCGCTCCTCCCTGTCCCTGTCCCTGTCCCTGTCACGGTCACGGTCCCCGCCCTGTGTGGCCTCAGGGCCTGGGGTGGGGGACACGGTCAGGACATCCCTGTGTGACCAGTGCCACCTGCGTGCCACCCCACCAGGACATCCAACCAACCAGGGCCACCAAACCCCACCAGTGCCACCCCACCAGTGACATCCAACCCAACCAGTGCCACCAACCAGTGCCACCCACCAGTGCCACCCCACCAGTGACATCCAACCAGGGCCAACCCACCAGGGACATCCAACCAGTGCCACCTGCGTGCCACCCCACCAGGACATCCAACCAGTGCCACCCAACCCAACCAGTGCCACCCCACCAGGGACACCAACCAGTGCCACCCCACCAGTGCCACCCAACCCAACCAGGGCCACCAAACCCCACCAGGGACATCCAACCAGTGCCACCCCACCAGGGACATCCAACCCAACCAGGGCCACCCCACCAGGGACACCCAACCCAACCAGTGCCACCCCACCAGGGACATCCAACCCAACCAGGGCCACCCCACCAGGACATCCAACCCAACCAGGGCCACCCCACCAGTGCCACCCCACCAGTGACACCCCACCAGGGCCACCCAATCCAACCAGTGCCACCCCACCAGGGACATCCAACGCAACCAGGGCCACCCCACAGGGACATCCAACCAGTGCCACCCCACCAGGACATCCAACCACGGCCACCCCACCAGGGACATCCAACCAGTGCCACCCCACCAGGGACATCCAACCAGTGACAACCAACCAGTGCCACCCAACCCAACCAGTGCCACCCCACCAGGGACATCCAACCAGTGCCACCCCACCAGGGACATCCAACCAGTGCCACCCCACCAGGGACATCCAAACAGTGACACCCCACCAGGGACATCCAAACAGTGACACCCCACCAGGGACATCCAACCAGGGCCACCCCACCAGGACATCCAACCAGGGCCACTCCACCAGGGACATCCAACCCAACCAGTGCCACCTGCGTGCCATCCCACCAGGGACATCCAACCCAACCAGGGCCACCCCACCAGTGACAACCAACCAGTGACACCCCATCAGTGCCACCCAACCCAACCAGTGCCACCCCACCAGGGACATCCAACCAGTGACACCCCACCAGTGCCACCCAACCCAAACCAGTGCCACCCCACCAGGGACATCCAACCCAACCAGGGCCACCCCACCAGGGACATCCAACCAGGGCCAACCCACCAGGGACATCCAACCCAACCAGGGCCACCCCACCAGGGCCATCCAACCAGGGCCACCCCACCACTGACACCAACCAGTGCCACCCCACCAGTGACACCACCAGTGCCACCCAACCCCACCAGTGCCACCCCCTGCTCTGATACTGGGATGGCCCTGCACCAGCCGGGAGGGCGATGACCCCAGTGGTGGCACTGGGGGTGACTGGGTGACACTGGGTGGCACTGGGCCATACTGGAGGGTGACTGGGTGGCACTGGGTGACACTGGGCCATACTGGAGGGTGACTGGGTGGCACTGGGTGGCACTGGGCCATACTGGAGGGTGACTGGGCTGCACTGGGTGACACTGGGCCGTACTGGAGGGTGACTGGGTGGCACTGGGAGCTGACTGGGCTGCACTGGGCCATACTGGAGGGTGACTGGGTGACACTGGGTGGCACTGGGCTGTACTGGAGGGTGACTGGGCTGCACTGGGCTGCATTGGGCCATACTGGAGGGTGACTGGGTGGCACTGGGTGGCACTGGGCCATACTGGAGGGTGACTGGGTGGTACTGGGAGCTGACTGGGCTGCACTGGGTGGCACTGGGCCATACTGGAGGGTGACTGGGTGGCACTGGGAGCTGACTGGATGCACTGGGCCATACTGGAGGGTGACTGGGTGACACTGGGTGACACTGGGCCATACTGGAGGGTGACTGGGTGGCACTGGGAGCTGACTGGGCTGCACTGGGCCATACTGGAGGATGACTGGGTGGCACTGGGTGACACTGGGCCATACTGGAGGGTGACTGGGTGGCACTGGGTGACACTGGGCCATACTGGAGGGTGACTGGGTGGCACTGGGTGACACTGGGCCGTACTGGAGGGTGACTGGGTGGCACTGGGTGACACTGGGCCATACTGGAGGGTGACTGGGTGGCACTGGGTGACACTGGGCCGTACTGGAGGGTGACTGGGTGGCACTGGGAGCTGACTGGATGCACTGGGCCATACTGGATGGTGACTGGGTGGCACTGGGAGCTGACTGGGCTGCACTGGGTGACACTGGGCCATACTGGAGGGTGACTGGGTGGCACTGGGGGTGACACTGGGTGGCACTGGGCCATACTGGAGGGGTGACTGGGTGGCACTGGGAGCTGACTGGATGCACTGGGTGACACTGGGCCATACTGGAGGGTGACTGGGTGGCACTGGGTGACACTGGGCCATACTGGATGGTGACTGGGTGGCACTGGGAGCTGACTGGGCTGCACTGGGTGGCACTGGGTGGCACTGGGTGGCACTGGGAGCTGACTGGGCTGCACTGGGCCATACTGGACAGCGACTGGGGGGGTTCTCACCCACGTCCTGCGGGGCGAGCGAGGGCTGGTCCACGTCCATGGGCGACTCCTCGCGCCGGGGACGGCGTCCGCGGGCCCGGCCTCCGACTGGGGGGACGGCGGCGCTTTAGGGGGCCTGGAACCCCCCAGGGGATCCCCCAGAGCCCCCCCGGGCTGGGGGGACCCCGAAACTGGGGAGGGGAAGGGGGCTGGGAGCCGCGGAGGGAGGGGGGTGGGGAGAGGGAGGAAGAGGAGGAGGATGAAGGAGAAGGGTGAGGATGAGCATGGGGACAAGCAGGACATGGAGGGAGGAAGGCTGTGGGGGAGGGGGGGCAGGAGGGGAGGGGAAGAGGATTAGGAGGGGATGGGAGAATGAGGATGAGGATGATGAGGAAGGTCAGGGATGGGAGGATGAGGGGGCACGGGAACAGGAGGAAGAGCAGGGGAGGAGGAAGGGGCAGGACGAGGATGATGAGGATGATGAGGATGATGAGGAGGACAGAGCTGGGGAGAGTGAGGATGACAAGGAGAAGGTGAGGATGATAAGGTGGAGGAGGTGAGGATGATGATGAGGAGGTGAGGATGATGAGGAGAAGGAGGTGAGAATGATGAGGAGGAGATGAGGATGATGAGGAGGAGGTGAGGATGATGAGGAGAAGGAGGTGAGGATGATGAAGAGGAGGTGAGGATGATAATGATGAGGAGGTGAGGATGATGAGGATGATGAGGAGGAGGTGAGGATGATGATGGGGAGGAGCTGAGGATGATGAAGAGGAGGTGAGGATGATGATGAGAAGGAAGTGAAGATGATGAGGAGGAGGTGAGGGTGATAATGATGAGGAGGTGAGAATGACGAGGAGAAGGAGGTGAGGATGATGAGGAGGAGGTGAGGATGATAATGATGAGGAGGTGAGGATGACAAGAAGGAGGTGAAGATGATGAGGAGGAGGTGAGGATGATGAGGAGAAGGAGGTGAGAATAATGAGGTGAGGATGATGAGGAGGAGGAGGTGAGGATGATAATGATGAGGAGGTGAGAATGACGAGGAGAAGGAGGTGAGGATGATGAGGAGGAGGTGAGGATGATGATGGGGAGGAGGTGAGGATGATGATGGGGAGGAGGTGAGGATGACGAGGAGGAGATGAGGATGATGAGGAGGAAGGCCGGGCAGGCCGAGGATGACCAGGAGGCGGCCGAGGAGGCCAGGCCAGAGCACACAGGAGCGGGAGGAAGAGGAGCAGGGCAGGGTGGAGGAAGGCGGCCGTGCTAACCGTGTCTCCCTGCTGCCGCCTCCGGGCCCTCTGGCCCTCACGTACCATTTGTATGATGGCGTCGGCCTCGGCCTCCAGCTGCCGGACGGCGGCCTGGATGCTGCCGGCCGCCCCCAGCCCCGCGGCGCCTGCGGGCACAGCGCGGGCGGTCAGCGCGGGCGGCGGGCAGCGGGCAGCGGGGGCGGCCGGGGCGGCCCTTACCCAGCCGGCCGGGCTGCTTGGCCTTGCGGTGCGCCCGGCGCGTGTCGTCCCGCAGCTGGATGATGACCTGCAGCACGCGCAGGAAGAAGCGCTGCGTGGACGTCTTGGAGGTCAGCACGGACATGGAGGGCAGCTGAAGCTCCCGGCCGCCCAGGGCGCGCTTCTGGGACGCCACGATGACCACGCTCTCGGCCGTGTCGAAGCTGGGGGGAAAGGGAAAGGGGTCAGGGGTCGGGGAGAGGGATGGTGGTCAGCAGCAGGGACATGGGGAGTGGTCATCAGGGATAAGGGGGATGGTCATCGGTGGGACCAAGATGGATTGCAGGACAGTGGACAGCAGTGGGGCAACAGGGAGTGGGCAGTGGTCATCGGCAGGGACAATGGGGAGTGGGCAGTGGTCATCAGGGATAAGGGGGATGGTCATCGGTGGGACCAAAATGAATTGCAGGACAGTGGTCAGCAGTGGGGACATGGGGAGTGGGCAGTGGTCATCATCAGGGACAATGGGGAGTGGGCAGTGGTCATCAGGGATAAGGGGGATGGTCATCGGTGGGACCAAAATGAATTGCAGGACAGTGGTCAGCAGTGGGGACATGGGGAGTGGGCAGTGGTCATCGGCAGGGACAATGGGGAGTGGGCAGTGGTCATCAGGGATAGGGGGAATGGTCATCGGAGGGACCAAGATGGATTGCAGGACAGTGGTCAGCAGTGGGGACATGGGGAGGGCAGTGGTCATCGGCAGGGACAATGGGGAGTGGGCAGTGGTCATCGGCAGGGACAATTGGGAGTGGTCACCAGTGGGACCAAGATGGATTGCAGGACAGTGGTCAGCAGTGGGGACATGGAGAGTGGGCAGTGGTCATCAGGGATGAGGGGGATGGTCATCGGTGGGACCAAAATGAATTGCAGGACAGTGGTCAGCAGTGGGGACATGGGGAGTGGTCAGTGGTCATCAGCAGGGACAATGGGGAGTGGGCAGTGGTCATCGGCAGGGACAATGGGGAGTGGGCAGTGGTCATCAGGGATAAGGGGGATGGTCATTAGTGGGACCAAGATGGATTGCAGGACAGTGGTCAGCAGTGGGGCAACAGGGAGTGGGCAGTGGTCATCAGGGATAAGGGGAATGGTCATTGGTAGGACCAAGATGAACTGCAGGACAGTGGTCAGCAGTGGGGACATGGACAGTGGTCATTGGCAGGGATTAGGAGAGTGGTCATCGCGGGGACCAAGATGGATTGCAGGACAGTGGTCAGCAGTGGGGACATGGGGAGTGGGCAGTGGTCATCGGCAGGGACAATGGGGAGTGGGCAGTGGTCATCAGGGATAAGGGGAATGGTCATCAGTGGGACCAAGATGGATTGTAGGAGGGTGGTCAGCGGCGGGGACATGGGGAGTGGTCAGTGGTCATCAGCAGGGACAATGGGGAGTGGGCAGTGGTCATCATCAGGGACAAGGGGGAGTGGTCATTGGTGGGACCAAGATGGATTGCAGGACAGTGGTCAGCAGTGGGGACATGGGGAGTGGGCAGTGGTCATCAGGGATAAGGGGAATGGTCATTGGTGGGACCAAGCAGCAGTGGGGACATGGGGGAGTGGGCAGTGGTCATCGGCAGGGACAATGGGGAGTGGGCAGTGGTCATCATCAGGGATAAGGGGAATGGTCATCAGTGGGACCAAGATGAATTGCAGGGTAGTGGTCAGCAGTGGGGCAACAGGGAGTGGGCAGTGGTCATCAGGGATAAGGGGAATGGTCATCGGTGGGACCAAGATGGATTGCAGGACAGTGGTCAGCAGTGGGGACATGGGGAGTGGGCAGTGGTCATCAGGGATAAGGGGAATGGTCATCAGTGGGACCAAGATGAATTGCAGGACAGTGGTCAGCAGTGGGGACATGGGGAGTGGGCAGTGGTCATCAGCAGGGACAATGGGAGTGGGCAGTGGTCATCAGGGATAAGGGGGATGGTCATCAGTGGGACCAAGATGGATTGCAGGACAGTGGTCAGCAGTGGGGACATGGGGAGTGGGCAGTGGTCATCGGCAGGGACCCCAGACAGGGACAGGAGTGGTCAGCAGTGCCCAGGACAGGGACAGGAGGGGTCAGCGATGCCCAGGACAGGGACAGGAGGGGTCAGTGGTGCCCAGGACAGGGACAGGAGTGGTCACCAGTGCCCAGGACAGGGATATGAGGGGTCAGCGGTGCCCAGGACAGGGACAGGAGGGGTCAGCAGTGCCCAGGACAGGGACAGGAGGGGTCAGCGGTGCCCAGGACAGGGACAGGAGGGGTCAGCGGTGCCCAGGACAGGGATAGGAGTGGTCAGTTGTGCCCAGGACAGGGATATGAGGGGTCAGTGGTGCCCAGGACAGGGATATAAGGGGTCAGTGGTGCCCAGGACAGGGATATGAGGGGTCAGCAGTGCCCAGGACAGGGACAGGAGGGGTCAGTGGTGCCCAGGACAGGGACAGGAGCGGTCAGTGGTGCCAGGACAGGGACAGGAGGGGTCAGCGGTGCCCAGGACAGGGACAGGAGCGGTCAGTGGTGCCCAGGACAGGGACAGGAGTGGTCAGTGGTGCCCAGAACAGGGATATGAGGGGTCAGTGGTGCCCAGGACAGGGACAGGAGGGGTCAGTGGTGCCCAGGACAGGGACAGGAACGGTCAGTGGTGCCCAGGACAGGGATAGGAGTGGTCAGTGGTGCCCAGGAGAGGGATGGGAGTGGTCAGTGGTGCCCAGGACAGGGATAGGAGGGGACAGTGGTGCCCAGGACAGGGACAGGAGGGGTCAGTGGTGCCCAGGACAGGGACAGGAGCGGTCAGCAGTGCCCAGGACAGGGACAGGAGTGGTCAGTGGTGCCCAGGACAGGGATATGAGGGGTCAGTGGTGCCCAGGACAGGGACAGGAGGGGTCAGTGGTGCCCAGGACAGGGACAGGAGGGGTCAGTGGTGCCCAGGACAGGGACAGGAGGGGTCAGTGGTGCCCAGGACAGGGACAGGAGGGGTCAGCAGTGCCCAGGACAGGGACAGGAGGGGTCAGCAGTGCCCAGGACAGGGATAGGAGGGGTCAGCGGTGCCCAGGACAGGGACAGGAGTGGTCAGTGGTGCCCAGGACAGGGATAGGAGGGGACAGTGGTGCCCAGGACAGAGACAGGAGGGGTCAGTGGTGCCCAGGACAGGGACAGGAGTGGTCAGCAGTGCCCAGGACAGGAATATGAGGGTCAGCGGTGCCCAGGACAGGGACAGGAGGGGTCAGCGGTGCCCAGGACAGGGACAGGAGGGGTCAGTGGTGCCCAGGACAGGGACAGGAGGGGTCAGTGGTGCCCAGGACAGGGACAGGAGGGGTCAGCAGTGCCCAGGACAGGGACAGGAGGGGTCAGCAGTGCCCAGGACAGGGATAGGAGGGGTCAGCGGTGCCCAGGACAGGGACAGGAGTGGTCAGTGGTGCCCAGGACAGGGATAGGAGGGGACAGTGGTGCCCAGGACAGAGACAGGAGGGGTCAGTGGTGCCCAGGACAGGGACAGGAGGGGTCAGCAGTGCCCAGGACAGGAACATGAGGGGTCAGCGGTGCCCAGGACAGGGACAGGAGGGGTCAGTGGTGCCCAGGACAGGGACAGGAGGGGTCAGTGGTGCCCAGGACAGGGACAGGAGGGGTCAGTGGTGCCCAGGACAGGGACGGGAGTGGTCAGTGGTGCCCAGGACAGGGACAGGAGGGGTCAGTAGTGCCCAGGACAGGGATATGAGGGGTCAGTGGTGCCCAGGACAGGGACAGGAGCGGTCAGTGGTGCCCAGGACAGGGACAGGAGGGGTCAGTGGTGCCCAGGACTGGGACAGGAGGGGTCAGCAGTGCCCTGGACAGGGACAGGAGCGGTCAGTGGTGCCCAGGACAGGGATAGGAGGGGTCAGTAGTGCCCAGGACAGGGACAGGAGGGGTCAGTGGTGCCCAGGACAGGGACAGGAGCGGTCAGCAGTGCCCAGGACAGGGATAGGAGGGGTCAGCGGTGCCCAGGACAGGGACAGGAGTGGTCAGTGGTGCCCAGGACAGGGACAGGAGGGGTCAGTGGTGCCCAGGACAGGGACAGGAGGGGTCAGTGGTGCCCAGGACAGGGATAGGAGCGGTCAGTGATGCCCAGGACAGGGACAGGAGGGGTCAGTGGTGCCCAGGACAGGGACAGGAGGGGTCAGTGGTGCCCAGGACAGGGACGGGAGGGGTCAGTGGTGCCCAGGACAGGGATATGAGGGGTCAGTGGTGCCCAGGACAGGGATGGGAGGGGTCAGCAGTGCCCAGGACAGGGATAGGAGGGGTCAGCGGTGCCCAGGACAGGGACAGGAGGGGTCAGTGGTGCCCAGGACAGGGACAGGAGGGGTCAGCAGTGCCCAGGACAGGGACAGGAGGGGTCAGTGGTGCCCAGGACAGGGATATGAGGGGTCAGTGGTGCCCAGGACAGGGACAGGAGGGGTCAGTGGTGCCCAGGACAGGGACAGGAGGGGTCAGTGGTGCCCAGGACAGGGATATGAGGGGTCAGCAGTGCCCAGGACAGGGACAGGAGGGGTCAGTGGTGCCCAGGACAGGGATATGAGGGGTTGGCAGTGCCCAGGACAGGGACGGGAGTGGTCAGTGGTGCCCAGGACAGGGATATGAGGGGTCAGTGGTGCCCAGGACAGGGACAGGAAGGTCAGCAGTGCCCAGGACAGGGACAGGAGGGGTCAGTGGTGCCCAGGACAGGGACAGGAGGGGTCAGTGGTGCCCAGGACAGGGACAGGAGTGGTCAGTGGTGCCCAGGACAGGGACAGGAGGGGTCAGCAGTGCCCAGGACAGGGACAGGAGGGGTCAGTGGTGCCCAGGACAGGGATATGAGGGGTCAGTGGTGCCCAGGACAGGGATAGGAGGGGTCAGTGGTGCCCAGGACAGGGACAGGAAGGGTCAGCAGTGCCCAGGACAGGGATATGAGTGGTCAGCGGTGCCCAGGACAGGGACAGGAGGGGTCAGTGGTGCCCAGGACAGGGATATGAGTGGTCAGCGGTGCCCAGGACAGGGACAGGAGGGGTCAGTGGTGCCCAGGACAGGGATATGAGGGGTCAGTGGTGCCCAGGACAGGGATATGAGTGGTCAGCGGTGCCCAGGACAGGGACAGGAGGGGTCAGTGGTGCCCAGGACAGGGACAGGAGTGGTCAGTGGTGCCCAGGACAGGGACAGGAGGGGTCAGTGGTGCCCAGGACAGGGACAGGAGGGGTCAGCAGTGCCCAGGACAGGGATATGAGGGGTCAGTGGTGCCCAGGACAGGGACGGGAGTGGTCAGTGGTGCCCAGGACAGGGATATGAGGGGTCAGTGGTGCCCAGGACTGGGACAGGAGGGGTCAGCAGTGCCCAGGACAGGGACAGGAGGGGTCAGTGGTGCCCAGGACAGGGATATGAGGGGTCAGTGGTGCCCAGGTCAGGGACAGGAGGGGTCAGTGGTGCCCAGGACAGGGACAGGAGGGGTCAGGGGTGCCCAGGACAGGGACAGGAGGGGTTGGCAGTGCCCAGGACAGGGACAGGAGCGGTCAGCGGTGCCCAGGACAGGGACAGCAGCCACGCCAGGCCTCAGGGGGTGTGGGCACTCACCGGCTCTGCATTTTGCCCTTGAGCTTGGCGCTGGGGGGCTGCTCCTCGGGGAGCCCCTCCGGGGACGGGGCCTCAAGCTGTGCCCGCCGCTGCTGCTCCAGGTTGTACTCACGGAGCTCGGCCAGCAGCGTCCCTGGGGGTGGCACGGGCTGGGACCCCCCTGACCACCCCACTGACCACAGGGCAGCCCCCCCTGACCACCCCACTGACCACAGGGCGGCCCCCAGTGACCACCCCACTGACCAGTGACCACCCCACTGACCACAGGGCACCCCCCATTGACCAGTGACCACCCCACTGACCACAGGGCACCCCCCATTGACCAGTGACCACCCCACTGACCACAGGGCACCCCCCATTGACCAGTGACCACCCCACTGACCACAGGGCACCCCCCATTGACCAGTGACCACCCCACTGACCACAGGGCACCCCCCATCGACCAGTGACCACCCCACTGACCACAGGGCACCCCCCATTGACCACCCCACTGACCACAGGGCACCCCCCATTGACCACCCCACTGACCACAGGGCACCCCTCATTGACCACTGACCATCCCACTGACCACAGGGCCCTCCCCCCAGCCCCAGGACCCCCCCTCACCGATCTGGCGGCACAGGGCCCCCCCCAGCTGCCGGGCCCCGCTGAGCAGCAGCCGCAGCACCGTGTCCCTTGTCCCCGCGTCCCCCCGGGACAGCTGCAGCAGGACGTTGGCCGCGTCCTCCAGCCCCTCCTCCGAGCACGAGTGTGATGTCAGCACCTGGGGGTGGCACAGGGGGGTTGGGGACACCTGGGGACAGCAGGACACCCCCCCCCTGCCCAGCCCGGCCTCCCTGGTACCTCCACGGAGAGTTGGAGCTGGCTCTCGGTCAGGCCTGTGGCTGCCAGCCGGGGGTCAGGGCCACCCTCGGGGACCTTGGCAGGGGACTTGGAGCTCTTGGCAGGGGCTGGGGACAGCGGGGACACAGCCGTGGGGGTGGTGGCAGTGGGAGGGAGGTGCCACCCCCACCCCACCCAGGCTGCTCCCTGTACCTGTCGCGTCCCCCTGCGTCCCTGTCCCCATGTCCCATCTCTGTCACCGCATCTCATCCATGTCCTGTCCCTGTCCGTATCCTCATATCCCATCCCTGCCCCCATCCCATTCCCATCCCCATGTCCCCATCCCCTTCCCCACGTCCCTGTCCCCATCCCAATGACCTCATCTCTGTCCCCATGTCCCCGCATTCCCAGCCCATCCCAGTCCCCCTGTCCCCCATCCCAGTCCCTATCTCCATCCCCCTGTCCCATTCTTGTCCCCATGGTCCCCCTGTCCCCATTCTCCACGTCCCCATCCCTGTCCCCCTGTCCCATCCCAGTCCCCATGTCCCCAGTCCCCCTGTCCCCATCTCCATGTCCCCATCCCAGTCCCCCTGTCCCATTCTTGTCCCCGTGTCCCTCTGTTCCCATTCTCCAGTCCCCATCTCCATGTCCCCATCCCAGTCCCCCTGTCCCCATCCCAGTCCCCATCTCCATCCCCCTGTCCCATTCTTGTCCCCATGTCCTTCTGTCCCCATCTCCATGTCCCCATCTCCGTCCCCATGTCCCCATCCCCTTCCCCACGTCCCTGTCCCCATCCCAATGCCCTCATCTCTGTCCCCATGTCCCCACATTCCCACCCCATCCCAGTCCCCCTCTCCACATCCCAGTCCCCCTCTCCACATCCCAGTCCCCCTGTCCCCCTCCCTGTCCTCATCTCCATCCCCCTGTCCCATTCTTGTCCCCATGTCCCCCTGTCCCCATTCTCCAGTCCCCATCCCAGTCCCCCTATCCCATCCCAGTCCCCCTGTCCCCATCCCTGTCCCCATCTCCATCCCCCTGTCCCATTCTTGTCCCCATGTCCCCCTGTCCCCATCTCCACGTCCCCATCCCTGTCCCCCTGTCCCATCCCTGTCCCCCTGTCCCATCCCTGTATCCCTGTCCCCATCATCTCCATCCCCCTGTCCCATCCCTGTCCCCCTGTCCCATCCCTGTCCCCCTGTCCCCATCTCCATGTCCCCCTGTCCCCATCCCAGTCCCCATGTCCCCATCTCCATGTCCCCATCCCTGTCCCCCTGTCCCCATCTCCATGTCCCCCTGTCCCATCCCTGTATCCCTGTCCCCATCTTCATCCCCCTGTCCCATTCTTGTCCCCATGTCCCCCTGTCCCATCCCAGTCCCCCTGTCCCATTCTTGTCCCCATGTCCCCCTGTCCCCATCTCCACGTCCCCATCCCTGTCCCCCTGTCCCATCCCTGTCCCCCTGTCCCATCCCTGTCCCCCTGTCCCCATCTCCATCCCCCCGTCCCATTCTTGTCCCCATGTCCCCCGTCCCCATTCTCCAGTCCCCATCTCCACGTCCCCATCTCCATGTCCCCATTCCAGTCCCCCTGTCCCATCCCAGTCCCCCTGTCCCATCCCTGTTCCCCTGTCCCATTCTTGTCCCCATGTCCCCCTGTCCCCATCTCCACGTCCCCATCCCTGTCCCCCTGTCCCATCCCAGTCCCCCTGTCCCATCCCTGTCCCCATCTCCATGTCCCCCTGTCCCCATCCCCACACTCACCCGCAGTTCCTCCAGCCGTGGCCGCTCCTCCTCCTCCTCCTCCTCCTCCTCCATTGCCCCCCTGTCCCGGGGGGCTCCCGGGCGCTGCAGCCGCCCCTGTCCCCATCCCCATCCCCGTCCCACCCCCTGCAGCGGGCGGGGCGGGCGCGGGGGGGGCGGGGGCTCCGTTTTGGGGCGCTGCCCCCCCCTCGCCGGCCTTGCCCCCCTCGGGGAGGGCGATGGAGATGAGGGAGAGGAGGCGCAGCAGCTTCTCGGTGAGGAGGGGGCTGCGGCGGATGACGCCGTGGGACAACATGTTCATCAGCTGCCCCAGCGGCGACGCCTCCAGGCCCCCCCCGGCCGCCTCGGGCTCGGGGCCGCCCCCGCCGCCCCCCGCCCGCGCCGACCCCTTCCCCTTCCGGCTCACGTTCATGTTGTCCAGCTTGACCAGCAGGTCCCAAAAATCCGTGGACAGCGAGCCGGATTGGGACTGGGGGGGCAGGGCTGGGGAGGGGGCGCCGGTGGGGGGGGGAGGGGGTGGGGGTGCCGGTGGGGTTTGGGGAGGTGGGGGAGGGCAAGGGCTGCCCCCGGATTTGGGGGGGCCGCGGTCGCGCTCCGGGTCGGTGGTGGGGTCTCGGCCTCGTTGTTGGGTGAAGTGGCTGGGGAAGACCTGGGGGGAACGTGGGGGTGCTGAAAACACCAAAATCACCCCAAAACCACCCCAAAACCACCCCAAAACCAGCCCGGAATTCCCGATATCCCCCACCCCACGAGGCCCCAGTCACCCCCAGGCCCCATAGAGGTTTTGGGGATCCTCCCCCTGCCAGATGCCACTGGGATGGACCCCAAGTGTGGGGAGAGACCCCCCAGTTTCTCTGTGGAATGTTTCAGTGCCCACCACAGCTTTCTCAAGTGACCCCCAGAGGCCCCCAGCGACCCCTCAACGTGCCCTGGTGCACCCCAAAATGTCCCAGTGCCCCCCAAAACACTTAAGGAATCCCCCAGAAACCCAATACCAAGCTCTAGTGCTCCCCAATTTCCCCTGGAGATCCCCAAACCACCCCTCAAGGGCCAAAAAACCTTCAAGGAACATCCCAGAATCCCGGTAATGTTCCCAAATTTACCCTGGAGATCCCAAACCACCCCTTAACGTGCCAAAAAACCCTCAAGAAACCTCCCAAAAACCCGGTAACGTTCCCCATTTTCCCAAATTTCCCCTGGAGATCCCCAAACCACCCCTTAACGTCCCAAAAAACCTTCAAGGAACATCCCAGAATCCCGGTAACGTTCCCCAATTTCCCAAATTTCCCCTGGAGATCCCCAAACCACCCCTTAAGGTGCCAAAAAACCTTCAGGGAACATCCCAAAAACCCAATAACCTTCCCAAATTCCCCCTGGAGATCCCCAAACCACCCCTTAACGTGCCAAAAAACCTTCAAGGAACATCCCAGAAACCCAGTAACGTTCCCCAATTTCCCCTGGAGATCCCCAAACCACCCCTTAATGTGCCAAAAAACCTTCAAGGAACATCCCAGAAACCCGGTAACGTTCCCCAATTTCCCAAATTTCCCCTGGAGATCCCCAAACCACCCCTTAACGTGCCAAAAAATCTTCAAGGAACATCCCAGAAACCCGGTAACATTCCCCAATTTCCCAAATTTCCCCTGGAGATCCCCAAACCACCCCTTAACGTGCCAAAAAACCTTCAAGGAACATCCCAGAATCCCGGTAACATTCCCTAATTCCCCAAATTTCCCCTGGAGATCCCCAAACCACCCCTTAACGTGCCAAAAAACCCTCAAGAAACCTCCCAGAAACCCCGTAATGTTCCCCAATTTCCCCAAATTTCCCCTGGAGATCCCAAACCACCCCTTAAGGTGCCAAAAAACCTTCAAGGAACATCCCAGAATCCCGGTAGTGTTCCCCAATTTCCCAAATTTCCCCTGGAGATCCCCAAACCACCCCTTAAGGTGCCAAAAAACCTTCAAGGAACATCCCAGAAACCCAGTAATGTTCCCTAATTCCCCAAATTTCCCCTGGAGATCCCCAAACCACCCCTTAAAGTGCCAAAAAACCTTCAAGGAACATCCCAAAAACCCGGTAATGTTCCCCAATTTCCCCAAATTTCCCCTGGAGATCCCCAAACCACCCCTTAACGTGCCAAAAAACTTTCAAGGAACATCCCAAAAACCCGGTAACGTTCCCCAATTTCCCCTGGAGATCCCTAACCACCCCTTAACGTGCCAAAAAACCTTCAAGGAACATCCCAGAATCCCGGTAACGTTCCCTACTTCCCCAAATTTTCCCTGGAGATCCCCAAACCACCCCTTAACGTGCCAAAAAACCTTCAAGAAACCTCCCAAAAACCCGGTAACGTTCCCCAATTTCCCCTGGAGATCCCCAAACCACCCCTTAACGTGCCAAAAAACCTTCAAGGAACATCCCAAAAACCCGGTAACGTTCCCCAATTCCCCAAATTTCCCCTGGAGATCCCCAAACCACCCCTTAACGTGCCAAAAAACCTTCAAGGAACATCCCAGAAACCCGATAACGTTCTTCAATTTCCCAAATTTCCCCTGGAAATCCCCAAGCCACCCCTTAACGTGCCAAAAAAACCTTCAAGGAACATCTCAGAAACCCAATAACCTTCCCCAGTTTCCAAATTTCCCCTGGAGATCCCCAAGCCACCCCTTAACGTGCCAAAAAACCTTCAAGGAACATCCCAAAAACCCAGTAACGTTCCCCAATTTCCCCTGGAGATCCCCAAACCACCCCTTAACGTGCCAAAAAACCTTCAAGGAACATCCCAGAAACCCGGTAACGTTCCCCAATTTCCCCTGGAGATCCCCAAACCACCCCTTAACGTGCCAAAAAAACCTTCAAGGAACATCCCAAAAACCCGGTAACGTTCCCCAATTCCCCCTGGAGATCCCCAAACCACCCCTTAAGGTGCCAAAAAACCTTCAAGGAACATCCCAGAAACCCGGTAACGTTCCCCATTTTCCCAAATTTCCCCTGGAGATCCCCAAACCACCCCTTAAGGTGCCAAAAAACCTTCAAGGAACCTCCCAGAAACCCAGTAATGTTCCCCAATTTCCCCTGGAGATCCCCAAACCACCCCTTAACATGCCAAAAAACCTCAAGGAACTTCCCAAAAACTCAGTAACGTTCCCCAATTTCCCCAAATTTCCCCTGGAGATCCCCAAGCCACCCCTTAACGTGCCAAAAAACCCTCAAGAAACCTCCCAGAAACCCAGTAATGTTCCCCAATTTCCCCTGGAGATCCCAAACCACCCCTTAACATGCCAAAAAACCTCAAGGAACTTCCCAAAAACTCAGTAACGTTCCCCAATTTCCCCAAATTTCCCCTGGAGATCCCCAAGCCACCCCTTAACGTGCCAAAAAACCTTCAAGGAACATCTCAGAATCCCAGTAATGTTCCCCAAACCACCCCTTAACGTGCCAAACCACCCCTTAACGTGCCAAAAAACCTTCAAGGAACATCCCAAAAACCCAGTAACTTTCCCCAGCTCCCCCCAAAGAACCCCAAACATGCTCCAGCACCCCCCAAACACCCCCAGCAGCACCCCCACCTTGGCCAGCTGGATGAGGGTGTCCAGCACGTGCCGGCACACCACGGGCGCGGCCTGGGGGTGGATGTGGACGGCGGATCCGGCGGCCGCCGCGTGTTTCTCCGTGTGTTTGCGGCCGGGCACGCGCTGGATCTGGAAGATGTTGGTCCGGCAGCCCAGGGCGGCGTCCATGGACACGGAGAGCCAGGAGAGCTGGCCGGAGCTGCGCGATTCCATGCGGTGCAGCAGGTCCAGCCCGCGCGGCTCCGCGGCCGAGCCCGGCCCGGCGCGGCTCCCGCCGGCGCGGCCCCGCGGCCGCTCCTCGGGGGTCCCGCGGGGGGTCTCGAGGCACAGCTCGCTCTCGCTGCTGCGCTGCAGGATGGACAGCAGGCTGCGGACCACCCAGCCCCGCGTGGGAGCGTGGTAGCAGAGGTTGCGCAGGACGCGGTGCAGGCGGCTCGTGTTCAGCTTGGGCTCGTCCACGAAGAGCAGCACCAGCAGGCAGGACAGAGCCTCGTGGTCCAGCAGCAGCCGCCCGCGCAGGCGCAGCAGGCTGTCCACGCTGCTGCCCGCCGGCCTGGGGGTGTGGGACAGGCAGGAGTGACCCAGAGTGACCAAAATAGATCCCAGAGTGACCCAAAACAGACCCAGAGTGACCCAAAACAGACCCCAAACTGGCCCAAAACAGACCCCAGAGTGAACCAAAACAGACCCCAAAATGCCCTGTCCACCAGCCTGGGGATGTGGGACAGCCAGGAGTGACCCAAAACAGACCCCAAAGTGACCCAAAACAGACCCCAGAGTGACCCAAAACAGACCCCAAAGTGAACCACAACAGACCCCAGAGTGACCCAAAACAGACCCCAGAGTGACCCAAAACAGACCCCAAAGTGACCCAAAACAGACCCCAGAGTGACCCAAAGCAGACCCCAGAGTGAACCAAAACAGACCCCAGAGTGACCCAAAACAGACCCCAGAGTGACCCAAAACAGACCCCAGAGTGACCCAAAACAGACCCCAGAGTGACCCAAAACAGACCCCAAAGTGAACCAAAACAGACCCCAGAGTGAACCAAAACAGACCCCAGAGTGACCCAAAACAGACCCCAAAAGTGACCCAAAACAGACCCCAAAGTGAACCAAAACAGACCCCAGAGTGACCCAAAACAGACCCCAGAGTGACCCAAAACAGACCCCAGAGTGACCCAAAACAGATCCCAAAGAGACCCAAAACAGACCCCAGAGTGACCCAAAACAGACCCCAAAGTGGCCCAAAACAGACCCCAAAGTGAAACAAAACAGACCCGAAACTGCCCTGTCCACCAGAGTCCACCAAAACAGACCCCAGAGTGACCCAAAACAGACCCCAGAGTGACCCAAAACAGACCCCAGAGTGACCCAAAACAGACCCCAGAATGAACCAAAACAGACCCCAAAGTGAACCAAAACAGACCCCAAAGTGAACCAAAACAGACCCCAAACTGGCCCAAAATCAGAGCCCAAACTGCCCTGTCCACCAGCCTGGGGATGTGTGACAGTCAGGAGTGACCCAGAGTGACCCAAAACAGACCCCAAACTGGCCCAAAACAGACCCCAGAGTGACCCAAACCAGACCCCAGAGTGACCCAAAACAGACCCCAAAGTGAACCAAAACAGACCCCAAAGTGAACCAAAACAGACCCAAAACTGCCCTGTCCACCAGAGTCCACCAAAACAGACCCCAGAGTGACCCAAAACAGACCCCAAAGTGACCCAAAACAGACCCCAGAGTGACCCAAAACAGACCCCAGAGTGACCCAAAACAGACCCCAGAGTGATCCAAAACAGACCCCAGAGTGATCCAAAACAGACCCCAGAGTGACCCAAAACAGACCCCAGAGTGACCCAAAACAGAGCCCAGAGTGACCCAAAACAGAGCCCAGAGTGACCCAAAACGGACCCCAAACTGGCCCAAAACAGACCCCAGAGTGGCATAAAAACAGACCCCAGAGTGACCCAAAACAGACCCCAGAGTGACCCAAAACAGACCCCAGAGTGACCCAAAACAGACCCCAGAGTGACCCAAGAGACCCCAAAGTGACCCAAAACAGACCCCAGAGTGACCCAAAACAGACCCCAGAGTGACCCCAAACTGCCCTGTCCCTGCTGCTGCCCCTGGCCTGGGGGGGACAGCCGAGACTGACCCCAAAATGACCCGATGCCCACTGACCTGCTGTGGGTGCCGGTGCCCCCCATGTGGAAGGTGCCGCCCCTCTGCACCGCCAGCCGCGTGTACTGAACGCCCCGGTTCCCGCTGAGGCGGCTGGTGAACGCTGCGGGGACAGGGACAGGACAGCGGTGTCACACAGGGCATGGACTGGGGACACCGGGGATTTGTCACACAGCAGGGACAGGGCACGGACTGGGGACACCGGGGATGTGCCACACAGCAGGGACAGGGCACGGACTGGGGACACCGGGGATGTGCCACACAGCAGGGACACCGGGGATTTGTCACACACTGGGGACGCCAGGGATATGTCACACACTGGGGACATGTCACACACTGGGGACAGAGAGAGACTGAGAGCATCAGAGTGGGGACACAGGGAATGGGGGGCAGAAGGAACTGGAGGGGGCCTGAAGGAATTGGGAGGGGCAGAAAGAATTGGGAACACAAAGGGAACTGGTGGGAGGGGGGCAGAGAGAATTGTTGGGGGGCAGAGGGAGCTGGAGCTGCAGAGAGAATTGGGGGAGACACAGGGAAGTGGAGGGGACACAGAGGGATTTGGGGTGGACACAGAGGGATTTGGGGTGGACACAGAGGGATTTGGGGGGGACACAGAGGGATTTGGGGGCAGAGGGAATTGTAGGGGACACAGAGGGAATTGTAGGGAACACAGAGGGATTTGGGGTGGACGCAGAGGGATTTGGGGGGGACACAGAGGGATTTGGGGGCAGAGGGAATTGTAGGGGACGCAGAGGGATTTGGGGGGGACGCAGAGGGATTTGGGGGCAGAGGGAATTGTAGGGGACACAGAGGGATTTGGGGGGGACGCAGAGGGATTTGGGGGGGACACAGAGGGATTTGGGGGGGACACAGAGGGATTTGGGGTGGACACAGAGGGATTTGGGGACAGAGGGAATTGTAGAGGACGCAAAGGGAATTGTAGGGGACACAGAGGGATTTGGGGGGGACACAGAAGGATTCAGCAGGCAGCAGGACCCCCACCCCCCTCACCGGGGCTGCGCAGGATGGCCGAGAGCGCCGAGGTGCTGGAATGGCCGAAGAGGCGCTCGTGCATGAGCTGCCGCTGCCGCGCCTCCTGCTCGCGCCGCAGCGCCTGCGCCTCGGCCGCGATGTCCGGCGGCATCACGGCCAGCACCGAGTCCTCCATGTCCTCCAGCACCGAGCGCCGCAGCTCCGAGGGCAGCGTCTGGATGAACGTCACCGGGTCCATGGGCGCGTCCGAGCCCGTGGCCTGAGCCAGCTCCCGCCGCTGCTGCTCCGCCCGCTGCTGCGCCAGCACCTGTGGGGGACAGCGCTGGGACACGGCCGGACCGGACACGGCCCAGGGGCACGGCCGGAGAGAGCGCGGCCACGTGGGGACACGCCCCAGAGGTCACACCCTTATGGGGACACGCCCCAAAGTGGCCATGCCCTGAGAGACCACGCCCCAAAGAGACAACACCCTCAGGGACCACACCCCAAAGAGGCCACGCCCTGAGGACCACACCCCAAAGTGGCCACACCCTCAGGGACCACACCCCAAAGAGGCCACAGCCCTATATGGACGTGTCCAGAAGAGGCCACACCCTTATGGGGACACACCCCAAAGCGGCCACACCCTCAGGGACCACACCCCAAGAGGCCACACCCCTATGGGGACACATCCCAAAGAGGCCACACCCTGAGAGACCACACCCCAAAGTGGCCACAGCCCTATATGGACATGTCCAAAAGAGACCACACCCCTAAGGGGACACACCCCTACAAAGCCACACCCCAATAAGCCACACCCATAAGGGGACACGCCCCTAAGAAGCCACACCCCAATAAGCCACACCCCTAAAGGGACATGTCCCAAAGAGGCCACACCCCATAGATCCACCCAAAAAAAGCCACACCCCCATGTGGACACACCCAAAGAGGCCACACCCTCAGGGACCACGCCCCAAGAGGCCACACCCCTATGGGGACACACATAAAGAGGCCACACCCTGAGGGACCACACCCCAAAGTGGCCATGCCCTATATGGACGTGTCCAAAAGAGGCCACACCCTCAGGGACCACACCCCAAGAGGCCACAGCCCTATGGGGACACACCCCAAAGAGACCATGCCCTGAGGGACCACGCCCCAAAGAGGCCACACCCTGAGAGACCACACCCCAAAGTGGCCATGCCCTGAGGGACCACACCCCAAAGTGGCCACAGCCCTATGGGGACACATCCCAAAGTGGCCACAGCCCTATGGGGACACATCCCAAAGTGGCCATGCCCTGAGGGACCACACCCCAAGGGGCCACACCCTGAGAGACCACACCCCAAGAGGCCACACCCCTACAGGGACACACCCCAAAGAGGCCACACCCTCAGTAACCACACCCCAAGAGGCCACACCCCTATGGGGACACACCCCAAAGAGGCCACACCCTGAGAGACCACACCCCAAAGAGGCCACAGCCCTATATGGACGTGTCCAAAAGAGGCCACACCCTCAGTAACCACGCCCCAAGAGGCCACACCCCTATGGAGACACATCCCAAAGAGGCCACACCCTGAGGGACCACACCCCAAGAGGCCACACCCCTAAAGGGACACACCCCTAAAGGGACACACCCCAATAAGCCACACCCCTAAGGAGACACGCCCCTAAGAAGCCACACCCCAATAAGCCACACCCCTAAGGGGACATGTCCAAAAGAGGCCACACCCTATAGATCCACCCAAAAAAAGCCACACCCCCATGTGGACACACCCAAAGAGGCCACACCCCAAGACCACACCCACCTCCTCCTGGATGGCCGGGGGCAGCGCCGCCAGGAACTCGGGGCTGACCTCGGTGAGGCCGGGGTTGGCCACCACGGGCGGGGCGGGGCTGGCGGCGGGCGGGGCCCGCGCGGGCGGGCGGATCCCCAGCTGGTTCTGCAGCACCTCCCGGCGGATATCGTCCGGCAGCGCCGCCAGGAACGACGGGTCCACGCCCTCGGGGAGGCTGATCCCTGTGACACGGAGGGGACACGTTGGGGACACCCCGGGAAATGGACTGGAACCACCAGGGATGTCCCTAAGAACCTCTGGGGACACCCCAGGGATGTCCCTAAAAACTCTGGGGACACCCCGGGGAACGGACTGGAACCACCAGGGATGTCCCTAAAAACCTCTGGGGACACCCCATGGAATGGACTGGAACCACCAGGGATGTCCTGAAAATCCCTGGGACCCCCAGGGATGTCCCTAAAAACCTCTGGGGACACCCCAGGGAATGGACTGGAACCACCAGGGATGTCCCTAAAAACCTCTGGGGACAACTCAGGGAATGGACTGGAACCACCAGGGATGTCCCTAAAAACTCTGGGGACACCCCGGGAATGGACTGGAGCCACCAGGGATGTCCCTAAGAACCTCTGGGGACACCGCGGGGAATGGACTCGAACCACCAGGGATGTCCCTAAAAACCTCTGGGGACACCCCGGGAATGGACTGGAACCATCAGGGATGTCCTGAAAATCCCTGGGACCCCCAGGGATGTCCCTAAAAGCCTTTGGGGACACCCCGAAATCCCTCAGGGACACCCCGAAACCATCAGGTCAGATGGGGACACAGGGGTGTCACTGACCAGTGACAGGGGTGTCACTGACTGGCCAGAGGGGACACAGGGGTGTCACTGACTGGCCAGAGGGGTCACAGGGGTGTCACTGACTGGCCAGAGGGGACACAGGGGTGCCACTGACCGGTGACAGGGGACACAGGGATGTCACTGACCGGTGAGAGGGGACACAGGGGTGTCACTGACCGGTGACAGGGGACACAGGGGTGTCACTGACTGGCCAGAGGGGACACAGGGGTGTCACTGACCGGTGACAGGGGTGTCACTGACCGGTGAGAAGTGACACAGGGGTGTCACTGACTGGCCAGAGGGGACACAGGGGTGTCACTGACCGGTGACAGGGGTGTCACTGACCAGTGACAGGGGACACAGGGGTGTCACTGACCGGCCAGCGGATCCTCCTCCTCGCTGCTGGTGGACGGCAGCGGCTCCTCCAGGATCCCCCTCGAGTCGGCCCCGGAAATGGCCCCGGCCGAGTCCCGGGTGGACGAACTCTCCGAGGATGAGGCCGGCGGGGAGCTGGGGGTGACATCAGTGAGGGGGGACACCCCAAAACCACGATGCCCCACCCCAAAATCACAACCCCCCATTTCCTACTGACGGAGCTGAGGGGGGAGGGGAGGCTCTCACCTATCGTCCGGAGGCTGAGCGGTGTCGGGGGGGGCGGGAGGGGGTCCTTGGGGGGTTCCAGGGGGGCTTTGGGGGGCTGTGGGAGCAGGGGGAGCCCCCCCTGATTCTTCCAAGGTGCAGGAGGCCAAACTGGAGGTGTCCATGGGGGACCCCTCCAGCTGGCTGCTCACGGCCGTCAGCGCATCCGAGTCCTCCGCCCGCTCTGGGGACAGCGACGCTGGGGGGGGACAGGACACTGGAGCCCCCCAAATCTTGGCAGACTTCCCCCCAATGCAAAAAGGCGAAAACCCCCAAAAATCCAGGGGATCCCCCAAAAAACCGAGCACTTACTGATGGTGGGGGCGGGTGACAGCTCCATCTGAGTGGCTTCGGCGTCTTGGGGGGGTCGTCCGGGACCCCCCTCTTCGTGTTCGGGGGGCTGAGGGGGGCGAGCGGGGATTTGGGGGGCTCCCGGGGGGGGGTCTGGGGGAGTCGGCGTCGGTTCCAGCATCACCAGTGTCCGGTGGGGACCGGGAGGGGGGGTCTCTCCCGGGGTCCCGCTGTGTTCTGGGGTGGGGGGGTGGGACACATGCAGTGATCAACATCGGGGGGGGACCCAGAAATTTGGGAGCCCCCCCCACCCCGCACCCCAAAACCTCCCTTTCTTCCCCATTTTGGGGAATCCCAGACATTCAGCTGTGCCCTAAAACGAGAGGGGATCCCAGTGGGGATAGGAGGGGGTTTGGGGTGAGGAGACAATTTTAGGGGGTGAGGAGACAATTTGGGCTGGGAGGAAACAATTTAGGGACAGCAGAGAATTTTGAGGAGACAATTTAGAGGGAGAAAAAATTTAGGGATAGAGACAATTTTGAGGAAGGGGGAGGGAGGAAACAATTTAGGGCAGGGCACATCCCACCCCTAGACCTAAACCACCCCCCAAATTCCACCAACCCCCTCCAAACCCCCTAAAACCCTCCCCAAAAACCCGACAAAAACACTTTAAACCCCCAAAAACCACCCGATTTCCCCATTTGAACCCCACTCCGCCCCTATCCTGGATGTGCTGGTGGGGTGGGGGGATCTCTAAGCCCCCTCCCCGCCGCTGCAGCCCCCCGGGACCCCCCGGCTCCGGCGGCGCGCGCCGCGCGAGGAAGACAGTAGAATGTATAGTTATCTCCGAGACGGGGGTGTGACCCTCCAACTATACAATCTACTACCTCAGCCCGCGCGGCGCCAGCTCCAGGGGGGGATTCGGGGGGTTTTTTTTGGGGGGGTCCGGCCGCTGAAAGGTTTGGAGGGCTCCAGGTGAGCTGGGGGGATTTACCTGGGGGGGTGACGTCGGCCGAAGCGGGGCCGGCTTTGGACGCCGCGTCCTGCGGGAGATGGGAAGGTGGGGATGAAGGAGAGACCCTTCCCCACGTCCTGGGGAGGTTTTGGGGGGTTTTTTTGGGGGTCTCTCACCTGGGTCTCAGCCCCGTCTTTGTCTTCGGGGCCGCGCTCGGCGCCTTTGGCCTCGTCCTCGGCCGCCTGACGCCGGCGCTTCTCGCGGCGCTCGTCCAGCTCCTCGTCCCGCAGCGCCTCCAGCCGGGCCAGGATGGGCACCTTGACCACTGGGGGGGCAAAATCGGGGGTTTGGGGCATGTGGGACCCCCAGGATGGGCACCTTGACCACTGGGGGGGGAAAATCGGGGGGTTTGGGGTGTGTGAGACCCCCAGGATGGGCACCTTGACCACTGGGAGGGGAAAATCGGGGGGTTTGGGGTGTGTGAGACCCCCGGGATGGGCAAATCTGGGAGCTTGGGGTGTGTGAGACCCCCAGGATGGGCACCTTGACCACTGGGAGGGAAACTGGGGGAGCTTGGGACCCCCAGGATGGGCACCTTGACCACTGGGGGGGACAAATCGGGGGGTTTGGGGTGTGTGAGACCCCCAGGATGGGCACCTTGACCACTGGGGGGGGAAAATTGGGGGGTTTGGGGTGTGTGGGACCCCCGGGATGGGCACCTTGACCACTGGTGGGGAAACTGGGGGAGCTTGGGACCCCCAGGATGGGCACAGTGACCACTGGGGGGGGACAAATCGGGGGGTTTGGGGCATGTGGGAGCTCCAGGATGGGCACCTTGACCACTGGGGGGGCAAATCGGGGGGTTTGGGGTGTGTGAGACCCCCGGGATGGGCACCTTGACCACTGGGAGGGAAACTGGGGGAGCTTGGGACCCCCAGGATGGGCACCTTGACCACTGGGGGGAAATCGGGGGGTTTGGGGTGTGTGGGACCCCCGGGATGGGCACCTTGACCACTGGGGGGGAAAATCGGGGGGTTTGGGGTGTGTGAGACCCCCAGGATGGGCACCTTGACCACTGGGGGGGCAAATCGGGGGGTTTGGGGTGTGTGAGACCCCCGGGATGGGCACCTTGACCACTGGGAGGGCAAATCGGGGGGTTTGGGGTGTGTGAGACCCCCGGGATGGGCACCTTGACCACTGGGGGGATAAATCAGGGGGTTTGGGGTGTGTGAGACCCCCAGGATGGGCACCTTGACCACTGGGGGGGCAAATCTGGGAGTTTGGGGTGTGTGAGACACCCAGGATGGGCACCTTGACCACTGGTGGGGCAAATCTGGGGGTTTGGGGCGTGTGGGACCCCCAGGATGGGCACCTTGACCACTGGGGGGGGAAAATCGGGGGGTTTGGGGCATGTGGGACCCCCAGGATGGGCACCTTGACCACTGGGGGGGGAAATCAGGGGGTTTGGAGTGTGTGAGACCCCCGGGATGGGCACCTTGACCACTATGGGGGGAAAATCGGGGGGTTTGGGGCGTGTGGGACCCCCGGGATGGGCACCTTGACCACTGGGGGGGGAAAATCGGGGGGTTTGGGGTGTGTGAGACCCCCAGGATGGGCACCTTGACCACTGGGAGGGAAAATCGGGGGGTTTGGGGGGTGTGAGACCCCCAGGATGGGCAAATCTGGGAGTTTGGGGCATGTGGGACCCCCAGGATGGGCACAGTGACCACTGGAGGGGCAAATCGGGGGGTTTGGGGCGTGTGGGACCCCCAGGATGGGCACAGTGACCACTGGGAGGGCAAATCGGGGGGTTTGGGGCATGTGGGACCCCCGGGATGGGCACCTTGACCACTGGGGGGGGAAAATCGGGGGGTTTGGGGTGTGTGAGACCCCCATGATGGGCACCTTGAAAACTGGGGGGGCAAATCTGGGGGTTTGGGTCACCCCGGGATGGGCACCTTGACCACTGTGGGGGGAAAATCGGGGGGTTTGGGGGGTGTGAGACCCCCAGGATGGGCAAATCTGGGAGTTTGGGGCATGTGGGAGCTCCAGGATGGGCACCTTGACCACTGGGAGGGGCAAATCGGGGGGGTTGGGGTGTGTGAGACCCCCAGGATGGGCACAGTGACCACTGGGAGGGCAAATCTGGGGGGTTTGGGGTGTGTGAGACCCCCGGGATGGGCAAATCGGGGGGTTTGGGGCATGTGGGAGCTCCAGGATGGGCACCTTGACCACTGGGGGGGCAAATCGGGGGGTTTGGGGTGTGTGGGACCCCCGGGATGGGCACCTTGACTACTGGGGGGGAAAATCGGGGGGTTTGGGGTGTGTGAGACCCCCGGGATGGGCAAATCTGGGAGTTTGGGGCATGTGGGAGCTCCAGGATGGGCACCTTGACCACTGGGGGGAGAAAATCGGGGGGTTTGGGGTGTGTGAGACCCCCAGGATGGGCACCTTGACCACTGGGGGGGCAAATCTGGGAGTTTGGGGCATGTGGGACCCCCAGGATGGGCACCTTGACCACTGGGGGGGAAACTGGGGGAGTTTGGGACCCCCAGGATGGGCACAGTGACCACTGGGGGGGAAAATCGGGGGGTTTGGGGTGTGTGAGACCCCCGGGATGGGCACCTTGACCACTGGGAGGGCAAATCGGGGGGTTTGGGGTGTGTGAGACCCCCAGGATGGGCACCTTGACCACTGGGAGGGCAAATCGGGGGGTTTGGGGTGTGTGAGACCCCCGGGATGGGCACCTTGACCACTGGGGGGGAAAATCGGGGGGTTTGGGGTGTGTGAGACCCCCGGGATGGGCACCTTGACCACTGGGGGGGAAAATCGGGGGGTTTGGGGTGTCTGAGACCCCCAGGATGGCAAATCTGGGGGTTTGGGGCATGTGAGACCCCCAGGATGGGCACCCTGACCACTGGGGGGGAAAATCGTGGGGTTTGGGGTGTGTGAGACCCCCGGGATGGCAAATCGGGGGGTTTGGGGCATGTGGGACCCCCAGGATGGGCACCTTGACCACTGGGGGGGCAAATCGGGGGGTTTGGGGTGTGTGAGACCCCCGGGATGGCAAATCTGGGAGTTTGGGGCATGTGGGAGCTCCAGGATGGGCAACTTGACCACTGGGGGGGAAAATCGGGGGGTTTGGGGCATGTGGGACCCCTGGGATGGGCACCTTGACCACTGGGGGGGCAAATCGGGGGGTCTGGGGTGTGTGGGACCCCCAGGATGGGCACCTTGACCACTGGGGGGGCAAATCGGGGGGATTGGGGTGTGTGAGACCCCCGGGATGGGCACCTTGACCACTGGGGGGGAAAATCGGGGGGTTTGGGGTGTGTGAGACCCCCAGGATGGGCACCTTGACCACTGGGGGGGCAAGGAAGGGTGAGGCTCAGGGGTCTGGGGGCTGCCCAGGGGGTCCCGGGGGTCTCACCGGACACGCAGTCGTGCATGCTCTCGGCGTCCAGGACCTTGCACTCCTCGGTCCAGCGCGTCAGGGCCGTGGGGATGCTGGACAGGGTCCCTGGGGAGGGGGGATGGGAGCTTTGGAGGCTGCAGAGGTGCCCCCCCATGTCCTCAGGTACCCCCAGGTGTGCCCAGGTACCCCCAGGTGTCCCCAGGTACCCCCAGGTGCCCCCAGGTACCCCCAGGTGCCCCCAGGTGCCCCCAGGTGTGCCCAGGTACCCCCAGGTGTCCCCAGGTACCCCCAGGTGTGCCCAGGTGTCCCCAGGTGTGCCCACTCGCCTGCCTGGCTGCCCACACTGCCCCAGGTGCCCCCAGGTGCCCCCAGGTACCCCCAGGTGTCCCCAGGTATCCCCAGATGTCCCCCCCATGTTCCCAGGTGTCCCCAGGTACCCCCAGGTGTCCCCAGGTGCCCCCAGGTGTGCCCATGTGTCCCCAGGTGCCCCCAGGTACCCCCAGGTGTCCCCAGGTGTCCCCAGGTGCCCCCAGGTGCCCCGGCTGTGCCCACTCGCCTGCCTGGCTGTGGGTATCCCCCCCATGTCCCCAGGTACCCCCAGGTGCCCCCAGGTGCCCCCAGGTGCCCCCAGGTGCCCAGGTGTGCCCACTCGCCTGCCTGGCTGCCCACGCTGCCCCAGGTGCCCCCTCATGTCCCCAGGTACCCCCAGGTGTGCCCAGGTACCCCCAGGTGTGCCCAGGTGTCCCCAGGTGTCCCCAGGTGTCCCCAGGTACCCCCAGGTGTCCCCAGGTACCCCCAGGTCTGCCCAGGTACCCCCAGGTACCCCCAGGTGCCCCCAGGTGTGCCCCAGGTGTGCCCACTCGCCTGCCTGGCTGCCCGCGCTGCCCCAGGTGTCCCCAGGTACCCCCAGGTACCCCCAGGTGCCCCCAGGTACCCCCAGGTGCCCCGGCTGTGCCCACTCGCCTGCCTGGCTGCCCGCGCTGCCCCAGGTGCCCCCCCAGGTGCCCCCAGATGCCCCCCCAGGTACCCCCAGGTGCCCCCAGGTACCCCCAGGTGTGCCCAGGTACCCCCAGGTGTCCCCCCAGGTACCCCCAGGTGCCCCCAGGTGCCCCCAGGTGCCCCCCATGTCCCCAGGTGTGCCCACTCGCCTGCCTGGCTGCCCACGCTGCCCCAGGTATCCCCCCACGTCCCCAGGCACCCCCAGGTATGCCCAGCTACCCCCAGGTGCCCCCAGATACCCCCAGGTGTCCCCAGGTACCCCCAGGTGTGCCCAGATACCTTTAGGTGCCCCCAGGTGTGCCCAGGTACCCCCAGGTGTGCCCCAGGTGTCCCCCCCATGTCCCCAGGTACCCCCAGGTGCCCCCAGGTGTGCCCAGGTGCCCCCAGGTACCCCCAGGTGTGCCCAGGTGCCCCGGGTGTGCCCATTCACCTGCCTGGCTGCCCACACTGCCCCAGATGCCCCCCCATGTCCCCTGGTGCCCCCAGGTGCCCCCATGTGTCCCCCCATGTCCCCAGGTACCCCCAGGTGTCCCCAGGTGCCCCCAGGTGTCCCCCCATGTCCCCAGGTGTCCCCAGGTGCCCCCAGGTGTGCCCAGGTGCCCCGGGCGTGCCCACTCGCCTGCCTGGCTGCCCCCCCATGTCCCCCCAGGTACCCCCAGGTGCCCCCAGGTACCCCCATGTCCCCCCAGGTACCCCCAGGTGCCCCCAGGTGTCCCCAGGTACCCCCAGGTGTGCCCAGGTGTGCCCAGGTACCCCCAGGTGTGCCCAGGTACCCCCAGGTGTGCCCATGTCCCCCCAGGTACCCCCAGGTGCCCCCAGGTGTGCCCCAGGTGTGCCCACTCGCCTGCCTGGCTGCCCGCGCTGCCCTGCTCGTGGAAGAAGTCGTCCAGCAGCTCGTCGTCGGAGCGGGCGATGATGTGCACGTCCTCGTTGCCCACCAGCAGCCGCGCCCGGCCCCGGCTCTGCAGCGGGAGGCTGCTGCTCAGCTGCAGGATGTCCGCGGCCGCCGAGGGGCCCAGGAGCCTGCCAGGGGGCACAGGGGTCAGGGGGCACACAGGGGGTGTGGGACCCCCGGTTTGGGGCTGTGAGACCCCCGGTTTGGGGCTATGAGACCCCTGGTTGGAGCTGTGAGACCCCCGGTTTGGGGGCTCGAGGGGGTGTGAGAGCCCCGGTTGGGGGCTGTGAGACCCCCGGTTTGGGGGCTCGGGGAGGTGTGAGACCCCCGGTTTGGGGCTGTGAGACCCCCGGTTTGGGGGCTCAAGGGGCTGTGAGACCCCCGGTTTGGGGGCTCAAGGGGCTGTGAGACCCCCGGTTTGGGGCTGTGAGACCCCCGGTTTGGGGCTGTGGGACCCCCGGTTTGGGGCTGTGGGACCCCCAGTTTGGGGCTGTGAGACTCCCGGTTTGGGGGCTCTAGGGGGTGTGGGACCCCCGGTTTGGGGGTTCTAGGGGGTGTGAGACCCCCGGTTTGGGGGCTCAAGGGGGTGTGAGACCCCCGGTTTGGGGGCTCGAGTGGGTGTGGGACCCCTGGTTGGAGCTGTGAGACCCCCGGTTTGGGGGTTTAAGGAGGTTTGAGACCCCCAGTTTGGGGGCTTGAGGGGGTATGAGACCCCTGGCTGGGGCTGTGAGTCCCCCGGTTTGGGGGCTCGAGGGGGTGTGGGACCCCTGGTTGGGGTGTGAGACCCCCGGTTTGGGGCTGTGAGACCCCCGGTTTGGGGGCACGGCCTGGCTGCTGCTCAGCTGCAGGATGTCCGCGGCCGCCGAGGGGCCCAGGAGCCTGCCGGGGGGCACAGGGGTCAGGGGGCTCCAGGGGGTGTGGGACCCCTGGTTTGGGGGCTTGAGGGGGTGTGGGACTCCCAGTTTGGGGCTCTGAGACCCCCGGTTTGGGGCTGTGAGACCCCTGGTTTGGGGGCACGGCCTGGCTGCTGCTCAGCTGCAGGATGTCCGCGGCCGCCGAGGGGCCCAGGAGCCTGCCGGGGGGCACAGGGGGTCAGGGGGCACGCAGGGGGTGTGGGACCCCCGGTTTGGGGGCTGTGAGACCCCCGGTTTGGGGCTGTGAGACCCCTGGTTTGGGGGTTCTAGGGGCAGTGAGACCCCCGGTTTGGGGGCTCTAGGGGGTGTGAGACCCCCAGTTTGGGGGTTCTAGGGGGTGTGAGACCCCCGGTTTGGGGGCTCAAGGAGGTGTGAGACCCCCATTTTGGGGGCTTGAGGGGGTGTGAGACCTCTGGTTTGGGGGCTCGAGGGGGTGTGGGACCCCCAGTTTGGGGGCTTGAGGGGGTGTGGGACCCCCGGTTGGGGCTGTGAGACCCCCGGTTTGGGGGCTGTGAGACCCCCGGTTTGGGGCTGTGAGACCCCCGGTTTGGGGCTGTGAGACCCCCGGTTTGGGGGCTCTAGGGGGTGTGAGACCCCCGGTTTGGGGGCTCGAGGGGGTGTGGGACCCCCGGTTTGGGGCTGTGAGACCCCCGGTTTGGGGGTTCTAGGGGCTGTGAGACCCCCGGTTTGGGGGCTCGAGGGGGTGTGGGACCCCTGGTTGGAGCTGTGAGACCCCCGGTTTGGGGGTTCTAGGGGGTGTGGGACCCCCGGTTTGGGGGCTTGAGGGGGTGTGAGACCCCTGGTTGGGGCTATGAGACCCCCAGTTTGGGGGCTCGAGGGGGTGTGGGACCCCCGGTTTGGGGGCTCGAGGGGGTGTGAGACCCCTGGTTGGAGCTGTGAGACCCCCGGTTTGGGGGCTTGAGGAGGTGTGAGACCCCCGGTTTGGGGGCTTGAGGGGGTGTGGGACCCCCAGTTTGGGGGTTCTAGGGGGTGTGGGACCCCTGGTTGGGGCTGTGAGACCCACGGTTTGGGGGCTCGAGGGGGTGTGAGACCCCCGGTTTGGGGGCTCGAGGGGGTGTGAGACCCCCGGTTTGGGGGCTCGAGGAGGTGTGAGACCCCCGGTTTGGGGGCTCGAGGAGGTGTGGGACCCTTGGCAGGGCTGTGAGACCCCCGGTTTGGGGGTGTGAGACCCCCGGTTTGGGGCTGTGAGACCCCCGGTTTGGGGGCTCGAGGGGGTGTGGGACCCCTGGTTGGGGCTGTGAGACCCCCGGTTTGGGGGTGTGAGACCCCCGGTTTGGGGCTGTGAGACCCCCGGTTTGGGGGCTCGAGGGGGTGTGAGACCCCCGGTTTGGGGGTTCTAGGGGGTGTGGGACCCCCGGTTTGGGGGCTCGAGCGGGTGTGGGACCCCCGGTTTGGGGGCTCGAGGGGGTGTGGGACCCCTGGTTGGGGCTGTGAGACCCCCAGTTTGGGGGCTTGAGGGGGTGTGAGACCCCCGGTTTGGGGGCTCGAGGGGGTTTGGGGGTGTTCCCAATGGGGTTTGGGTGACCCCAAGGGGGTCTGGATGTCCCCAAGGGGTGTCTGGCCACTGCCAGCAGTGGTCACTCACCACTGCAGGATTTGGGGGGTGGTTTGGGGGTGACCCCAAGGAGGTTTGGGTGACCCCAAAAGGTCTCTGGACACTGCCAGCAGTGGTCACTCACCGCTGCAGGATCAGGGGAGGTTTGGGGGTGTTCCCAAGGGGGTTTGGGGGTGTTCCCAGGGGGGTTTGGGTGTTCCCAAGGGGGTCTGGATGTCCCCAAGGGGTCTCTGGACATTCCCAGCAGTGGTCACTCACCGCTGCAGGATCAGGGGGGGGTTTGGGGGTGTTCCCAGGGGGGTCTGGATGTCCCCAAGGGGTCTCTGGACATTCCCAGCAGTGGTCACTCATTGCTGCAGGATCAGGGGGGGGTTTGGGGGCGTTCCCTGGGAGGGTTTGGGGGTGTTCCCAATGGGGTTTGAGTGACCCCAGGGGGGTTTGGGTGTCCCCAGGGGGGTTTGGGTGACCCCAAGGGGTCTCTGGACACTGCCAGCAGTGGTCAGTCACCGCTGGAGGATCAGGGGAGGTTTGGGGGTGTTCCCAGGGGATTTTGGGTGTTCCCAGGGGGGTCTGGGGGTGTTCCCAGGGGGGTCTGGGGGTGTTCCCAGGGGGGTTTGGGTGTTCCCAAGTGGGTTTGGGTGACCCCAAGGGGGTTTGGGTGACCCCAAGGGGTCTCTGGCCACTGCCAGCAGTGGTCACTCACCGCTGCAGGATCAGGGGGGGGTTTGGGTGACCCCAGGGGTCTCTGGCCACTGCCAGCAGTGGTCACTCACCGCTGCAGGATCAGGGGGGGGTTTGGCTGCCGTGCCCCCGGGTAGTGGACGTGGATGGTGTGGCCGGCGTTGGCCGTGAGCTGCCGCAGCGTTCGCTGGCTCCGGCCCAGCCCCTGGGCCAGGCGGGCGCCCCCCGGGCCGCCCCCCAGCCCCAGCCCCCCGTGCTCCGCGTGCCGCACCAGCAGAGGGTGGCTGGCCGGGATGTTCCCGGGGGACGGCGGGATGTCAGCTGGAAAGGGGAAAATGGGGGGTCAGACACCCCAAAAAACACAGGGAGGGGGGAAACGGGGAGTCAGATACCCCAAAAACAACAGGGAGGGGGAAAATGGGGAGTCAGATACCTCAAAAAACACAGGGAGGGGGAAAATGGGGAGTCAGACACCCCAAAAAACACAGGGAGGGGGAAACGGGGAGTCAGATACCCTAAAAAACACAGGGAGGGGGAAATAGGGAGTCAGATACCTCAAAAACAACAGGGAGGGGGGAAATGGGGAGTCAGATACCTCAAAAAACACAGGGAGGGGGAAAATAGGGGGTCAGACACCCCAAAAAACACAGGGAGGGGGAAAATGGGGAGTCAGATACCTCAAAAAACACAGGGAGGGGGAAAATGGGGAGTCAGATACCTCAAAAAACACAGGGAGGAGGAAAATGGGGGGTCAGATACCCCAAAAAACACAGGGAGGGGGAAAATGGAGAGTCAGACACCCCAAAAAACACAGGTAGGGGGAAAACGGGGAGTCAGATACCCCAAAAAACACAGGGAGGGGGAAAATGGAGAGTCAGATACCCCAAAAAACACAGGGAGGGAGGAAATGGGGAGTCAGACACCCCAAAAAACCAGGAGGAGGGGGAAAACTAGGAGTCAGATACCTCAAAAACCACAGGGAGGGGGAAAACGGGGAGTCAGACACCCCAAAAACCATGGAGGAGGAATGGGAAACACCCCAAAAAACACAGGGAGGGGGGAAATGGGGGGTCAGACACCCCAAAAACAACAGGGAGGGGGAAAATGGGGGGTCAGACACCCCAAAAAACACAGGGAGGGGGAAATGGGGAGTCAGACACCCCAAA